TAGACAACATCAACAAACCAAGTTATATTTATAATGTCAACAAGGAAAGAAAAAAAATCAATATGAATTGATTCAATTTTTTTTTCTATTATTTAAGCAATACACCCAATTGTTTGATTTAAAAAGAAGATTGTAAATATCTTTTGTATATATAGATTAATTAAACTTTTTCTTATGATTATTTTTGTGTACTCAAAAAGTGAGTACACTACTAAAATCGGTCAGTGTGTCCGGCCGGCCGTCAGTCCGTCCGTCCGTTTATTCGATAACTTTTGAAAGGAGAGTCCGATCGCGATGAAATTTTCTACACAGTTTAGTCTTAACAATATCTCGGTCGAGTTCGAAGATGAGAATGATTGGCCGAACCATTGCTGAGTTATTGCAAAAATAGACAGTTTTCCCTATGAGAAGATAGACCCTTCTCTATTTTAATTAAAAACTTTTCCTAGCATAGTCAAAGAAAACCCCAACTATTATACACCATTCGATAGAGAATTTCACGAGCTACAAAATGGTATATAAAACATAAAGAAACAAGATGGCTAGCTCACCTATTGCAAAGATAAACAAACGGAAATCGGTTCTGTTTTTGTCTGCGCTCTAATCGATTCATAATTCGAGCTCTATCTTCCGATCACAGAGATAATACTTCGAGGTTTTCTAGGATGGAGAACTCGAATCTGTAATCCACTTGACTCGAAGCCCCATTGGTTGAGCACTGACCAATAGAAATCAAATTATAGGAAAAACGAGTTTTTTAGGATAACTCAAGGCGAAGAGTCCAAATCTGAGCTGTATTCACTGCAAAATCCTATTGGTTGAGCAGTAGCCAATAGAATTCAAGTGTTTATAGAAAGGGTTTGCCAGGCTAATTTTTATATCCACACATTGTAGGATGACCGATTTGTCTCATTCACTTTTTGAAGTACACATAACTCTCGGATTTAAATCCGAGGTTTCCACATTTATTTAATTTAAATAAAACAACAACAACTTATTCTATAGAAATTTTTGTTCAATATATATATTTATTTATTTTAATTAACATTTTAAATAATCGATTTATATAATAAGATGTTTCTCTTGTTTTTGTTATTATAATTGTAATTCTATTGAATATGGTTATATTATAATATTAATAGATTTATTTATATTAGAGATTCAAAAATAAAATAATATATAGAATTGATGTATTCTATTTAAAAATAAAAATAAATCTCATTTATCATCTTTATTTATGTTTGCTTTATTTCGATTTAATAAAATAGTTTTTTAATATTGAAATGAGGGGAAAAAACTGATAAATTATATTTGAAAGATATTATAAATTCAAAGAATTATTTTCAATAGAAATCGAAATAACTCGATCGATTTAACATATATTATACGAATGGAAGATATTTATTGAAATAAATCAAACTCTTAAATAAATAAATGAAATCTTATATTAATATAATAAATCATTTCAATGGTTAGACTAATATTGATAGAAATAAGATTTTATTCAATTTATTTATTTTAATTTAATTGAGTTAACCCTTTGCTGGTATTTTTTTTTTGTTAAAAATCTTTCTATAGTTTTATAATGAAATTATTTTATATTATTATTGTCGAGTTAAGATAATAATTATATATTATTGTTTTTCATTAAAAAAACTCTTTATTTAGAAATAAAATATCATTTGTTTTGAAGAGTATTCAAATTGTTAAAAAGAATTTTTTAAATCTAAGAAACGCTTTATATTATTTAAATAGATTTAAAGAATAGTTTTTATATTCGTAGAATTAAAAAAAACCAAACTTTCATATTAAACCTTTGTTGTTATTTTTTCAAAACTAATTTAAATAATTAACTATCTCCTTACATTTGGTCAAAAATTCGTTACTTATTATATAAATCGATTTCTAGATGAATCTATATTGATTATCTTATTATATATAAGGATTGACAACGAAAATTATTTATTATTTTAATAATCTATCCTAGAAACATTATATTGATCTGAACAATTTTGACACAATTTATTTCTCTCTACTGAACGATCGCTAACAAATGATTAACATTTCATCCGATTTGAACGTGTTTTGTCGAAAATCTGTTTTAACTGCTAGATAGAAACGTTCTATAAGATGAAATAATGATAAAATAGTTCGAATTATCGATTAAAAATTTCTAAGGAAATAAATTTAATCGATCCTTATAAAAATGTTTTGAAAATAAATTTATTTAAATAGGATACTTATCGATATGGTTAAACTAAGAAATTCGAAAATAAAAAATGAAAATATTTTTTTTTTTTTTATATTTATTAATATAGAAGTGATGATGTACCTGATTAATACAATCGAGTTCGTTATATTCGAGATTCTTGTAAAGGATTGTCTGACCTTTGGAAACTAGATAAAGATTTTGTAAGTTAAATAAAAGTATTGATAAGGATGTATCAAAATCATTGAAAGAATTTCGTTTGAGTGATGTTGCACGTTGTTATCGTTCTCTATATAGAAAAAATGGTGCTTTATCGATTTTAAATCAAACAATTGATGATTTAATTCAAATACATGATTTTATTGATTCCAAAAAGAAAAGAATGGCTTGAACAATTTAAAAAAATTATACGAACAAGCTAGAGATAAACAAGTATTTATTAATTTTATTTATTGATTTATTTCTAATATAAGTCAACTATTCGTCAAACAATGACTGAACTAAGAGATAATTATGAAAAAGCTCAACGAAAATTAGAAACAGCTGATGCCAATTTTAAAAAAAAATGTTTTAATGATTCTTTAATTTGTTCTACTTCTCATTTCAAAATATAATGTGCCCCATTGTTTTTTTTTGAATAACTTTTGATAGGAACATCATAGAGATCTTCGGCTTTCACCATTCAAGAGAGAAGATCCGGAACCTTCCAAAATTCTCGCCAAGAACTTATCCAATTAGCCAATGAAATTTTGATATATTTCGATTGCTTTGGATCTTCTCTTTTGAATGGTGAAAACCGCAGGTCTCTGTAATATTCCTATCAGAAGTTATTTAAAAAACAACGGAGCACAATATATTTTGAAATGGATAGTAATTATTATCGTTAAAAAAAGAAGTCAAAAATACTGCGTTTCTAAACGTTTTGCTTTCACTTTACTTATTACACTTAATAAGATCATTTTTCTTATCGTTCAATATGGGTAAGGTAAATGGATATAGTAAAAAAATAACTTGTGTTGCTTTATTTATTTTTTTTGACGAATTTTCGTTTATTTTTTGTTCCTAATACAAACAATTGAATGTCAATTATTATTAGTATAAAATGAGTTCTACTTATTTAGAACTCGACAACAAGATTTCTATGATCAATATTCATCATCATATAATGATTCACATTACTGGCATGGAAATAATTCAAATTCATATGATTTTTAAGGTTCAACACTGGTGGAAATTCCTCAATTTCAACATTCATCTCATACACTTTTACAACAAAATGGTTTTACTTAACAAGTTTATCTTAAATATAAACAAGAATGTCTTGATGGTAAAAAAGAAACATTGATTGTAGAGAAAAAAAAGTTTATTAGTTCAGTACATATTTACAATATTTCGAGAGAAACAAACTACTAGTAAAAAAAGATTGAAATTACGTGGCATTGAACGTAAAGAAAACAAGTCTCTTAATGAATAAAGAACAGTCAACATATCTAAAGATAACAGCGAAAACTACTCTCCGGTAAAAATCAGAGTCTAAAAAGACTTATATTTTTATCTAAATAGATAACAGAGAATACGTCTGTTGCTATAATTTTCAAAGAAAAAACAAAGATTTTACTCTTTTATGGAGGTTTTTTAATAAATACTATCATCTTATCTACATGATAAATTTGAAAAGCAATAAAATAATCGTCAATGATTAAAAACACGAAGTTTCACTGATCGTCAAACTTTATTATTTCATAGAAAATATTTATAATCTAGAGTTATGTTAATTTACAAATAAAACACATTTTGTTTCTGTAATGATCTAATTTCTAGAACGCGTTAAACTTGGTCCTGGTCAATCAATGGAAATGAATACACTATCGTTTTTAGTCATTTTTCTTATGAAAAATAATAAGCAAAAAAATTGAATATTACTATTTATGTATAGATATGGTGTTGAATGTCTATTTTGATTTTATACATATGGTATCGAAAAACATTTTCATCAACATGTATTTGAAGATTTTTAACAAGAAACTCTTTGTGATCATGAAGCTGGTAATAAAATAGATTACACACACAAAAAAAAAAGAAAAGTGTCAATAATAAAAATAATTTTCCTATTTAGGTCAATTATATGGTTTAGAAAAATTCTGGGTATTTTTAAAATATTCTCGACAAAAACCAAAAATCAATCGAAAACTTGAAGAAATTTTAAAAAACTATAAAAATCTTGAAGATTTCCGTTTTGATGGTGCATCATTTCCACAACATTTTTTTCTAACAAAATCAAATTATAGTAATTGAAAAAATTTTGTTTTTCTATGATATAAATAATTTCTTTATAGACTGTTCCAGCATTCGAAGCAATTGCTGTTGCAGTAGCAAAAAACAGTGATACATCAAATTCATTAAAACCCAATGGTGAACAATATCTGAACGGTGCTAAACTTTATACACGTTTTGTTTTTCTTTTGTTTTGTCTAGAAAAAAAACGGTGCTCATGTTTTTTCAAGTGGATTTCAATTTATTTAAAAGTATGCATGTATTTTTTTTTTTTTGTTTTCAAAGCTTATTGTTATTTAATCATTTTCTACGTATATATTACATTGATTTGTTGTTGTAGTAGATAGATAGATTAAATAGTGATGCATTTTCTTTTTCTATCGATAGAGATATGAAGAATTTTCTTATGGTTTCGTTTTATTTCTGGAACTATTTGCTAATAAAAACAAAACAACTAAACAAAGTTAATTTGATTATGATTATGCATGTTTTTCTTTTAGAAGAAAAAAGAAAGACAATGGCTTCATCTCGTTTATTTAATAATATTGGTAAGATATTGAGATAATATTTTATTTCGATAGAAGAATTTGGTGTTTTAGGAAGAATTCCCATGTCGTCAAAATCGCCTAAGTTTTCACGATTAATTGCGATTTTTCAAAATACTAACGATTAATCGCGATTATGAGAAGAAAGTTGCCGATTAATCGCGATTAATCGGCAGTATTTTGAAAAATCGCGATTAATCGTTGGTATTTTGAAAAATCGCGATTAATCGTTAGTTTTCTGAAATCGCGATTAATCGTCAATATTCTGAAAAATCGCGATTATGAAAAAAATCGCCAATTAATCTCAATTAACCGTCAGTATCTTGAAAAATCGCGATTAATCATCAATATTCTGAAAAATCGCGATTGATCGGTAATTGTTTTATATTATCAATATAGCGCGATTAAACTGGCAATTTATTTAACTTAAATTTTTTTGACTCAAGCTAAGAAATTATAGAAATGCTCGGTCATTTCCCATATCATCAAAATCGTGTTAGTTTTGGTTATTAGTAGCGATACCAAAAAAATCAGCAATTAATCGCGATATTTCAAAAACAAGTTTGTTAGTTATGTAAATAGAAAAATAAATAGAATATATTATTTTAGTGAGACTGGAAGTATTTTTTGATTTTTTTTGGCAAAATATTTTCATAATTTCCATACCAAAATTGTGAATCGAAAATTCAGAATGAACATATACTGGTAAGCGTATTTTAGCCAATAAAAAAAATATACAATCCTGATTATTTATTTTTCGGCTTCTTTTATAGTGTACATTGTTTTGATCTATCCAAAAAAGTGATTGTAATTCAATATTTTTTTGAGCGATGAAATGCGTTTTTTGTCATTTTTAATCGAAGTGTTTTTCAAAAGAGTTTTAGCGCTATCTGATGAATGCCCGTATATTTATCATAAGATAAATAATTCTTTGTCTATTTTATATTTATAATAAAAATAAGTAGTTTTTGAATAGCCAAATTTTAAAAAAACAACTTTTATAAATTGGCTTATTTAAATTACAGATTATAATATATTCACTTTATTTTATATATAAATTCAATCTATTTTTTATAATAAATTCGCTACATTTTTTACATAAATTATGAAAAATTATTTATCTTTATTTTATATAATAGGAGAATCATATACCTAATTTTGCTCATAGTTAAATTTTCGTGAAGGTGAATCGAAAAATTTTGTTTAATAAAAATAGAAAATTCAACGATTCGAGGAACACGTAAGAATAGTCTAATGGTATATTCTCTGCCTCGAAATTACAAGGTCTTCTGGTCGAATCTACTCTATGGTAATTAAAAAAATTACATGAAACGCCTTTAACAAGACAGGCAATACATTGACCGACAAACCAGGTTTACGGAAATGTGTGTAAATAGTGAAAAAAAAGTTCAAGACCATGATAGACTTGACAATAACTTTGTAGAAGCTTGATACATCGTAGCCTGCTGCTTTTTGCTCAAAAGTGCGCTACACGCAGCTTCAAGATCACGTTTAAGAGTCTATCAAAAATATGCGAACTGCAATAAGAACGGGTTTCAACGCAGATTTTCATAAATTTTTTTCCTCGTTCGTCGTAGTCCCAGATTCCAATTCTATAAACAGATTCGATTATTGAAAATAGTATTTGAATAATCGCGATTTTTCACGAAAATCGGAAACAAAAATCGGTAAAAATCGCCACTTTAGGCGATTTTATCGCGATATAATCTCACAATTAATCGGCATGATAAATCGCGATAAATCGCTGATTTTTAAGCGATTTTCACCACATGGGTTGGTATTTGTTTAGCTATTGTTGGTGATGTGATTAATTCTATGCTTTGTAATGGTAAATATGAAAAGATTAAAAGAAACATTGTTTTCTTTAAATATAAATATATTCTAGTTGATGATGGTCATCGAGATGTTATTTTTGATCATTTTCTAGGTGTTAAACTAGATGTTATTGAAAAAGGAACTCATTTTATGATTTCATGGCTTCATAGACCAATTATATTTGATATTCGTACACGACCACGATCTGTTCCATCAATAATAGAAATAAAAGGTATAAAAGCTGGAAGAAAACAGTCACCTTCAGGAGAGGGGTGAACATGAGGAAAATGTAAGCTCGCGAAAAAAAGAAGGTAAATACGATGTCTATTAAAACATCAATGAATGTATATGGCTGAGGTATCTTAAAAAATTTTGCGGCCATCGATGGTGACTCAACTGATCGTTTTACACCTATACACTCTCATCATTCACCAATCTTAGGATACTTCATAAAACTTAAAATCGGAAGTCTCCGTTATTTTTTCTTCGTATAAATGAAATATGCATAAATTACATTTTATTATTTTTATTTTAGATTTACAAACAATTAATATAACATTACATATTCTTCATCGACCAAGAGCTGAACTTTTACCAAAAATTTTTTGCAAATTTGGGTTTAGATTATGAAGAGCATGTTTTACCATCGATTATTAATGAAGTTTTAAAATCTGTTGTGCTAAGTCTCAATTTGATGCTATTGAATTGATTACACAACATACACTTATTTCTCAGCGTGTTAGTGAATTATTAATAGAACGTGCTGCTCAATTTGGTTTATTACTTGATGATATTTCGATTGTAAGATACAACAAAAAAGAGTCTCGAGTTGATTATATATAGTTTTTTCTTTAAATTAGACACATTTAAGTTTTAGACCTGAATTTACAAGTGCTGTTGAATTAAAACAATGATTTTTAGTCGAAAAAGTAAATCAATAAGAATAAAATTTGTATGAGTTTGTTTTTTTTTGATAAAAAAAATAGACTGAACAAAATCGTCAAGCAATTGTTATTGCAGCAGAAGGTGATGCTCGTGCAGCTGATTTGATTGGCAAAGCTTTAGATGAAGTTGGTGATGGTAAATTTTCGAATATCTTTTATTATCCTGTCTAACTTTGTTTTAATATTCATGTTAGGTTTGATCGAACTTCGGCGAATTGAAGCCGCTGAAGGTATTGCAAATCAATTATCAAAATCAAGAAATAGCGTCTATTTACCACATGGTCCTCAAATGTTACTTAACATTACTGGTGCTATGCAATAAAAATATTGTTTTTTGTTTTCATAGTAAACTAATGAGATTGATTTAGGAAAACAAAAAGAACATATAAGAGTTTTTTTTTTGTATGTGTGTGTTTATAAACTATTGAGAATACTAAAGCATTGTATTGTCCTGTTTTTTGTTCGATTAAAGAAAAAGAAGATCAGATCAACAATTCTCTAGATGATATTAAAGATTCGAGTACGATTGAAATAATGAATTTCGATAATCTCTTTCGACATTTTATATTAACTCAATCATTTGTACGTGATTGGGGAAATCCATTTCATTTACAAGAAATTTTTACCTATAGACGTGAAAAAATTGGTGTAAGAGATGAGTGTTTAGAACTTGTACCAGCTGAAAATGTACAGGAAAATACTGTTGAAATAATTAAACAAGAAACAAAAAGGTAATCAAAATTATATAAATGCTCGATTTCGTTTACCACTTGCCAATTATTTACCACATTTGGTAAGTAATTAAAATTATTTTAATCATTTCATTAATATTATCTTTTTTCTTTTGTTATATTTATTTAAATAGGTTTCATCTCAAGTAGCTACAGCTCATTTTCAACATGTTCTATCACGTGATCATCGTTTTGGTATTGATTCAATCCCAATAGGAATTTGTTATGCTGGAACAGGTGATCATGGTTTTAGTCGACGAAGATTATTTATTGCAGTTCTATTAATTAATCAATACCCTATATGTTCAATTCTTCTTGAAAATCCATATTATGGTTTAAGAAAACCACCAGATCAATCTCATTCATCATTATTATATGTTACCGATTTATATATCATGGGTGAAGTACTTGTTTTAGAAACACTTATACTACTTCATTGGTGTCAAAAAATGAAGTTAACATCAGCTATTCTACATGATTTTTCTTTTGGTGAACATATGGCTTCATTAGCATTTACAAAGTAAGATTCAATTCTATTATTTGATTTATTTAATGAATGGATATACAGTATCTATCATAATTTCAAATAATGATTCAAGTAGAGCAAACCATGTTACAAAAAGAATATAGATTAAAAACATTGATTATTTGATTCCCTAAATTAGGATATTTTTAGACAACCCAAAAGCCTAATTTCTCAGTATCTAGTACTTGAACTCTCTAGGACGGTTTTTTATGGAGTAAAAGTCGAATAATTTTGGTAGCCATTGTGTATATATTTATATTTTAGATGGCCTGATCCTCCTTCTCGATAATTCTATGAAAATAAAGCCTCTCAAACATTTTATGATTATTTACGTGAACGAAATCAATCAATAGATTCAAATAAAATTGTTCTCGATCTTATTAAAGATATGATGCGTCTTCTTATGGATGAATTTACATCTTTATATAATTATTCACGTTCAGTTCAATCAAATATATCTAATGCTATGTTTATTGCTGGTACACATGACGGTGATTCTTTCGAAAACGTACCACAATTACATCGACTTCATCCGAATCGAATGAAACTTTCTGAACTAGTAGAACTTGATAACATGATCTTAAAAATAACCTTCAAAAAGTTTCAAAATGCTGCGATCATGGTTTTTGACTATCGCTTCTAATGGCATTTCCAGCCAAAACTTGATTCATAGGATTTCTTTATTTGAAATGATAGAAAGCTGAAACTTTTAGAGTAGATACTAGTTGATGAGACAATCATTTTATTAAGCGAAAACTTTTTTCTCCGACGTTGTCTTTGTCATGAAAAGTTTCACAGAAAAATCAATTTTTTCGGGATTTTAGAGGCTTAATTTCTCCGATAAGGAACAAGATTTAATTAACAATTTTATACGCATTAGAATCGTCTTTGAATGTAGTATAACCCGACCCGAGAAAACCCGTGTAAATCTCGAAAATACTAACCCGTTAACCCGTGACCCGTCAGAGGTCCAACCCGGCCCGCGGGTCACGGGTCGGGCGGGTTGAAGCAAAACGGGCTAACCCGCCAACATCTCTGGTAGGAACATTATTAGGTATTCCTGCCTTACTCTTGAAAAACAATGTATCCTGCTTTATTATTGTCGGTATACTTAACAAAAGTTGCATTGTATCAAGTTTTTCTTTTCTCTTAAGTGCATCTACCTTCTCTCGGTTGATCATGAAAGAAAAGATTATATTTTTTCATGATTAATTGGTTCACAAAATGGAATATTGAAATGTATAAGAAGCTAATTAGTGTTTGACGTCGAAAGATGTATTCTATTAAGATACACTGATTGATGTTCACTTCAAAGTTTCTTTTAGCAATTTTTCTTGGTACTTTTATAAATCAAATAGACCCATTAAACAATCTCATTTATAACTAAAAATAAATTATTATAGAACTAAATAATTGCAGCACTAACATACTTGAACTCAAATATTTCATTCATACAATTATACGTTTATACTAGCCTATTAATTTTGACTCTTGGGTTAATGCTCAACAGTCAATAGTCACTTTGTTGTTGCTCTTCAAACAAAACATACGACAAAATAAAAAATTTTCTCACACAGCAATTCAGCAGTTTTGAACATTTTTTAAAGTGCTTTACAATTTGTTGTCATGATAACTGTCAATCATGATGCAGCGAAGGTAAGATGTGGGTGAGAGTGTTCGTCAAGACTTTCAATCGCTATTGTTTCTTAAACACAAAATTTCTACGTGATAATTTTATTAAATATGTTTGGAATAATGCAACATAATTATTGTCTTAGCAGCTACGAGGCTAACGGATGCTGTTCCAAAATGAGTTGAATTTTATTCGAATTGTGTGTTTTTTCCTACATTAGTTTGATTGTAACACTTGACTCGTATATAATAATGAACAATATAAAAGTTAGTATTACTGAAAATCTCTCAATAAATTGATTCTACCTTCCTGAGTGCACATAGCCACTTCCTTTACTTAAATATGCAATAATTTAGTTTGAATTTATTTCGATAATAAAAGTGAGAAGATAAAAACTTTATTTAAATATAAATGAAAATATGTATAGATAAATATAGATATGATTTAGATATACAAATAAGCTTATTAAGGATAGATAACTTTTCTTCAATCTACAAAAAAATAATTAAAAGTAAATTAGATAATAATCACTCCATTTTATTTTGATTAACTGTTTTAAAATCGTTCAGGTATATCGATTGTTGTTCCACATCTCTGACAAACAACAGTTCGTAAACCATCAACTGTATGCACTATACTTCTTTCGAGATGAGTTGCTTCTTCTTGATATTCTGTTGGTGGTGGTACCTTAAATGACCAATTTGTCTGTGGCATGGCATATGTTGGACGCTGACCACTGGAAGGAAAATTTTCATTATTTCCACCTCTACCATCATTGACTGCTCTTATGTAAACATAGATATAAATAGCAATGAAAACAAGAGATGAGACTAGTATGATAACTGAAGCAGCTAATTGTGCCTTAGCCAATGATAATAATATATTTCCGAAATTGGTGTCAGTGTTATACAAGGATGTACAGCCTCCGATGGCAACAAACGTATAATCTAATAATTGACCATTAATAAATCTTCGATCAAAATCGATAAGTACAGCTGAGAAGATTAATGCAAGAATATTTTTTATCATAACATATGTTGCACAGCCAACGGATGATCGATTACAACAAGCTAACAAAGAAATAAATTTTTTTTAAATTAGAAAAAAATATATTAATAAAAGGTCAAAGATTTAATTCATGGTAGAAATCACTTAATGGATGATAAATATAAAGTGTTGATCTTCGTATATGTTTCAATATTCTTTTCTAGTCAAATAAAGAATGACACAAACGAGAGCGCTCAAGTGACGAATGAGATATGCCTATGCTTTGTTTAACTTTTATTTTTTAACTTCATATTCTGAATTCATTTAAGAATATAAGAAAAAAAAACGAGTACTCACTAACGCAGAATATTGAAATCCAGCATGCCAAGAAAAAGGCCCAGCAAACAAAGCCCATAACATACCATGATATTGAAGCAAAGCAAAAAAAAACCAATCCAATGCCAACAATGCTGCTATGAAGTCCAAGAATAGCAAATGAAAAAAAAAGTTGAATAACAGCAATTAAGGCAATTATGCCCGACGGCCAATAACGACGCCAACTTTGAGAACTCGGCCAATATGAGTTAGTTGCCATTATTTACTTGAAATAAATAAATCAATATTAACCAAACGAAGAATTTCAATAATACAATCTAAAAGATAATAATTAAAAAGATTTATTCTTACCTAGTCAAACATTTTCATCAATGCCGAATTGAATATTCACCATTTTGCTTGTCAAATAGATAAACAACAATCATAAATGGAATGCTCTTTTCATCCATAAATTTTGTCTTTCATATATTTAATTTCTATCGTAGAGAATGACGCGAACCTTTCCTTTGAGTTAAGATACATATTATTACTAATCTTTATAAAAAAAAATTTTTTTTTATGAAAAGAAAATGAGATCAGTCAGACGAAATGAAATGTGCAGATAGTTTGTCCAAAAAAAAAAAGAAAAGAATTATTTATTAAATCTACACAAAGGTACATCCAATCGAATTTAATCTATGCCGTAAGCAACATACATATTGTGTATTTCTATAATAGAAATATTGGTGAGTTGTTTATGCGATTTGAATCAGTTAGACAAATACTGTTTAGTTCTGTTCTATTATTCAAGAAAAAAAAACTCAAGTGACATGCATTCATCTCTATTTAATTATTTCTAGAGAGCAAGGCTGAAGTTAATGTCGAAGTATGTACATATGCAAATAAAAAAATTAATCTTACCATTGACATCTAAAATAGCATTAAACATATAAATAAATTTTACTTTCAAATCAAAATACTTTTATGTATAAACAATCGATCAATATATTCATTATAAACATGTTGAGGATTCCACTATGGTAAGTTGTTCTATTCAGGAGACGATATATATATATATAAGTTTTTATGTAAGAATTTCTAAAACTAGAAGATGTTTGTCTCTTTTTATCAGTCATTGTCAATTATCTATTTTACATTAGAATTCTCTCATTAATTAAAGTAAATTTAATGAACATACCTATTTAGAAGCTTTATTATCATTTCTCTTATTAGATTAGAATTCTAATAGTGATTCAATCTAAATGCAGATCTTTCTAATTTCAAGCGTAGGTGACTGCATAAAAAAACGAACACAATCAGATCGTACTTATTTAAAAGAATATATTTGAAAGTGATGATTGTTAAATATCTTTTTCGAAATTTTTCTCGCTTCTTCAAGACTAAAAATCAAGACCAAATTATTTTTGATTACAACCTAAAAAATCTAATTAAAATAATAAAGACATTATTCATTTTTATCCTACACCGAGTGACGTGCGGAAGAGAAAATTCTCAGGGCTGAAAAATAAGGTGTATATTCAATTTTTCAAAATTCGGGCTATTGAACTTTTTTTTTATAAGAAAAAAATCAGATTTCGGCTAAAAATAACTAAAAGTTTTCTAAAAGTAAGGTGGTGAGCACCTCCCAGAACTTCCACTCTCCATGGTCACATTCCTACCTTAACCAGTATACTAAAAAGAATTGGTCATTATCATCGAAATAACATACGCCTTTATTTTGATATATTTACTGACAGCATTGAATATATTTCTTCTATATCAACATCGGTTATATACTTTTGTTGCGACGTCGTTCGTCAACATTCGTGTATAATTAAATATTGACATGGAGTACAAGAAACAAGAAAAAAAAATACATTCTAGTTCATTTTTTTTTCGGCGAATTTGTGATCATTATTGGAAGTATTTGCTTTAGTTGCTTATTGGGCATTTATTTATAAATACTAGAGGCTACACATTAATACAGAAAAAGAAAAACAAAATACTTGGTTGCACTTTTGACATAGACTAATCATGCACGAATTGATATCAACTATGGAATAAATGTTAGGATCAGGATGAAATCAGACAAGTTTTGATCATATTTAAATTGAGTTTAAATCAGTATTATTTCGATTTACACAAAATAATATTCAATTTAAATTCATTTAATTCGAGGGTGTGGGTGTCAGTGTTGGTGTGTAGCGAATATACTCACTAACACCTACACCCACACACCCACATCCTGCTCTCTTTTTAAATTTTCGAATTAATACGGTTCTTTATTAAATAATCATTTATTTTATTCACTCTTAAAATTAAGAGAAAATTTGAAGACTAAGAAACAAAATTTAGACAAATAGTGATGTTAAACGTTGACGACATTTCTATTTTGGAATCGAATTGTTCCATGTATAGATATAAGGATGGTCTTCCGTAGGACATTCAAATGGTTCACCCTTGTGCCATGCAGTTTTTTTCTGGCCAACTCGTTCGAACATATTATTCCAAAGTGATAATGCTGCGACTGCATGACCCTTGGCTAAAATGAAATAAAATCATGCATTATGTAACATGCAAAATGAAATTTACCGCTCAAATGAAAACAATCAGGAGCAAAATAACTATAATCGATTTTTCCATTTTTTTCAGGTAGTTCAGTGTGAATGAAGAATGGTTGAACAACAACAGTGAAATCATCACGACTATCATAAGAATGTGTATTAACTAGGTCAAAAAGACCTTGTTGATATCCAGGAATCCACTCCTTTAATATGTCCTCTTGTTCTGGAGTAGGATATGCTGCACATGGACATGAAGATTTTTGAAGAAGTCCACAAACAATATTGCCATCTTTAAGTTGTTTTGCAAAGGTAACATTGAGTACGGGTACAAGATTTATCAATGTACGAGGTAGATTAGCATTGTACAAGCGATCAAGTGCCTCACGAACCCGTCCGATATAATGTGGTGGATCATATGCCATTGATTCTTCACAGAAATCGCATAAATCATTTGCCTACATATATCAGTGGTCAAAATATAGCGTATGAAAATAGAAAACATACTCCAATAAAAAAAGTAATTAGCTTCCAATCATTATTCCAATCGCAGAGTCCTTCTTTCTCTATGCGATATAAGAGAATATCAACTTGCTCGACCATACCATATGAGTCAACACCCGATTTTGCTGAAAGAAAAAATAATTTTAATCAATAGAAATAATAACATTGACGAAAAATAAAAATAATACTAACCGACACTAAGTCCATTGTGTTTTGCGTTTTGACCATTGAGAAATGCTATTGAACTTTTGGTTGAAAAACCTTTCAATTTCGGATTATAAAGACGAAGAATATTGGGTAATGTCACTACTTTCTTAAAGGTACCATCACCACCGATAGACCAAGCAACACCTAAAAGCAACGACACAATCAAAACCTTCAGATGAGATGAGCAAAAAAAAACAACTCACCTCGATTCTCTAACAGAAGACCGGCTGGGGTTATGGCTTTAGCACCCAAGGCTGCTGTCAAACTGTCGCCCATGGCTGCAACACATTGAATATCACCCGGTCGTAGAGCATGAACTGATGTTGGAACTGTCGGACTTCGCATACCCTTTGTTGAACAAGGAAAAGTTTCCGAAAGTTTATCATAGAAATCATCCGGTTCAGACATTCGTTCGAGCGACCATTTGGTAAACTCTTCTAGGAAGTATCCATCAAGAGCCAACTTTTCCACAGTCGAACGATATTTCGTTAAATTAAAACTGGCTACATTGCTCAACAATATTGTGAATAGTGACAAACTAATAATGGAGGCTCTTTTCATTCTTAATAATGTTTTGGTGTGTCAATTGAATAAGAGAAAAAATAACACGGTTGCCTTTTAATAAGCAAAAATTTGATAACAAGATAAAACATTTCACCAGACATTTTGTTTCTCACTGATAACCGACTAAAAACTATCAACAGAGATCGCACTTGTGATATAGTCAAAAGATTATAAAAATATGGTCATATGTCCTCCATTAAAACGAAAAACTACATATATTACTCTGCATAATTATATAACAAAAGTGTCATCAATGAAATAAGTAAATAATATATTCTATTAAAAATTATTTAAGATTATTTTAATAAAATTATATTTGATATTGATTCTGTTGTCTCAACTGTATAAGCAATGCTTTATTATAAGTTGAACTATAAAATGTAATAATCTCTTCAATGATATGGTAAATACATTTTTGTAAACATCATAATGACAAATCAAACTACACAGTAAATATATGCGAAATTTAACAGAAAGACCCAGTTCATTTTTTCAAACATTATTATGTTATCATTATTTTCTCCTCATACTTTTACAGAATTATTTTATTTTTTTAACTTAGTCATCAACAATTGCATTTTCTATTTAAATAAAAAAGGACTGCAAGTTTATACATTCTATTATAATCGAGATAGAAAAGAAAAAAGAACATGCATGCAGCAATTATTTGTCAACACTATAATTGTGTCACAAGACATCAAGTATTTACGTCACTCTGTACGACATTCTATACTCAAGTACGGTGAAGAATAACATCGTATTAATCTATATTAGAGCGAATATTTCGAAATATTAATATTTATGCAAATCTTACTACAAATACTAAGAGTATTTGGATCTCGTTTACTAATAGAATTGTAGCAAATGTTTGTACGTTATTACTACTGGAACTAACTTTTGTCTTTTGACAACATTTTGCGTTTGGATATGAGTAGAAGTTTGTAATGTGCTGGTTCTAACACACTCGACAGTATTTCTCCTAGAAATTAAATACGCAATATTGGTCATATAAATAACGTCGAAATATATATTAAGAGATATGAAAATAATTGTTCGATAATTTTCGTACTTAATCATCGAACTACTATAGATGTTACAATGACTAAAGACCTTTCTGAATATGTACTATCTGATTAGTTTAATTGAGCACTTCAATTCTAGTAATTGATAGTCATTCATGATTGTTCTTTATACATTTGAATATATGAATGTTTTTTATATCATTGATCAGAAAATTTATTCCTTAGTTTTCCAGACACTTTTTAACATTTGTAATGATTATGTAACAGAACTAAACTTCTGATGCTATCTGTATAATACTATGACATATCATTATATTTATTTAGCTTCTGAGTTCATTGTTGCGGAAATTAAAAGTTGAATGGCAGGAACAAGAACTTGATTTTTCATCTGTGAAGTCTTGGGAATTTTAAAATATCATACATTCGTCAATAATATCTATTTTGAAATAACATACGATGCAAAAGTCTTTGGAAAAATGTCAACCTGAAGAACAAATTCAATCAGACTTCTGACATTATTTCTGTAGTGATGTAGCTAATGAAGGGCTAAAGATTGAGCCTCGACATGGGTAAAATCTTGACTATGCCACTATATCTCTGGTCTAGTTAACTCGTTTAAACTACACGATGTCTCAATAAAGAGAGCCATTCGTACTTCAAAACGTGCCGTAATTCTTTTCTAATATATAAAATGAAATCTGGCACCAACACAATCAAAAATCATGTATTACTTATTATTATTCATTGTTGAAGACATAGACTTCATCATTCGAGAAGAAAGAGCTCCAATATTCGCCCAAATTGTGGAGTTTTTCAAATATAACCAAATTTCCTGTTTCGTTTCCTTCTATGCTTCGGAATACATATGAGTTAAATAGCAAACATATTCTCGTATGGTTGAAACTAATGTTGAATTTTTATTAAAATGTCCTCCATTATTTTTCGAATGACTTTTTATCGTTTCAAGCTATGAAGCTTCGGTTGTCATCATTCGAAAGAGCAATCTGGAGAATGTCGATCCATATGAAACTCATTAGATTCAAAGACTTTCTTGATGGTTATTTTCATTTTGCTGTCCATCTTCATGAGTTTTCATGATGATCTAACAACAAATTATGCTCAATTGTAGCCAGAACCTCGCTTTATTTGTTGTAAAAATTCCAAAACTTGTCATGAACACCACAGCTTCTTTTCGTTATAGGTTGTGATCGAAATATTCTGCTTTTACCACAAATACAGTACGGTTTGAGCTACAATTAAGCGTAATTTGTTATTAGGTCATTATGAAAACTCATGAAGATGGGCAACAAAACGAAATCATTTTGAAAATAATCATCAAGAAGATCTTTGAACCTAATAAGTTTCATATAGATCAACATCCCCAAGATTGCGCTTTCGAATGATGACAACCCAAGCTCCATTGCTTGAAACAATAAATAGCTATTCGAGGGTGTGGATGTGGTAGAGATGTTCATCGTGCTACTGCCGCGCCGCCAATTGCGACCGCGGCGGCGCTGCTGCATGAGCTTTTATAGGAATTCACTTTGTAATTTCTAGAAAAAGCTTTATCTTCAGAGCTTAAATTAAAGTAGTCTTCCTTTTGTAAACGAGGAGTTTCTTTCTATCTTTCTTGAAAGGGAAACAGACCAAGTCAACTTAATGCTTTTTATATACGATCGAGTGTGAAAGTCTAAGAAAGTTAAAATAGTCCAAATAAGAAAAAGGAGACCTCATAGCGCATACTAAAATGGCAAAATAGCCCATTTATCAGAAGATGCATGCATATAAAAATGAATTTGTTAAAACTATTTTTTTGAAAAAATCGAATCGCTGCAAATGTGTTAATTTCCAACGCACATCCACATCCACACCCACACTCTCTTCCTCGTTCATATCCAAGACCATTCTCTTGATTTTCAATCCGTGTTCAAACATGATTTCGATATTGTCTGTCAACAATATCTGCCATCGATTATTGATCGAATTACTTTACTTTGCTTTTCGGACGATAATGAGATTCCACAACAAATTCTTCTATTTCTAACATATGACTTTACTCTTCATCAATTTTCTAATTTGCGAACATTTTCATAGTGTAATCTCAATCATTGAAATGATATTGGAATGTCATCACATTCCCAATCTCATCCATTTGAAACTTACCAATTTTATCTTTCGATCTGATAAGATGAGGTTTCAATGTTTTATCAATGGTATTTGGAGTCTACCTAAACTCATCTATTGCGAACTCGTTGCTCATTTGGGATATGGAAGATATTTTATTGAATCAACAGTGACATGGTCATCGATCAAACAACTGAATCCTCTTGGAAATTAAACCGTGTGTAAATCCGATAAGTTATTTTTTTGACTATACATCTTGTCTTCGAAACTTTTCTTCATCTATCACTCTCAGACCGGGCTATGTGGTCTCATCATATGCTGTTCTATCTATGATAGATGACTTTTTGCAAGTGGTGTCCAATTTATGTCAATTAACAGTTCAGATATGTCACGTTAATATGAATTGATACATATGAGAACAAATTATTCGTGATCGTTTTCCCAAACTAAAAGTGTTTCAACTAAAAATGGAAATTATAATTCATGACATCAACAAGAAGGAGGAAGAAGTTGATGTATTAGTCGATTCATTTCGAAGTCAATTTTGGCTTGAAGAACATCGTTGGTTTGTTCGTTGTGATTGGACCATTCTGTTTAAATCAACTTCTTCTTATAATGATGATCATTGGTCATACAATCTGTGTGCATCCTTTGTTGCAACACGGCTTTAACCAAAGAACTGACTCAGTGTCATGTTCACTTTCCTAATATCCATTATCTTTCCATAAAATTACCTATTAATGATCAAGCTTTGATCAATTGACCTCACTCATTGTATTATTGGACGATGATAATGATCTTGCTCAATCACAATTACAATCTTTGCTTAATAGAGCACCTCGTCTTCGCCCATTGAGAATCAAATCAAGCTCATCCTTGACTGAACAAGTGTTATGAACAACGGAAAAAAGTACAAATGTATCGATTCTTCGACTTTTCTCACAAGAATATTTGCAATGCTTCTACAACCAAACATGTGTTGCATTAAGTGTTTCTTCGCTAGATATCCAATGTGAAATGTTTGAAATCACAGTCAATAATCTTGCAAATATAATTACACTTATTAACGGAATGACCAAGCTTCGGACGTTGTATGTTTATTGTCGCGATAATAAAAGAAACACAAAATGATGAACTTATTGAATGGTTGCAACAGCGCTTATCATTCACCTGCACGATTAGTAGAGACGAACAATTCTTCTATATTATTAGAATATGGATTCGTGAATAAATAGAAAGTATACTTATCGAGCTATTTGTAACTGTTAGCATTCGAAAGAGCAGACTTCTAGTAACAAACATAACGATCAATACAAGAAAGGAAAAAGTGGGTGTGAGTGTGTTAGCAAAAGTCCCCACACGTATATCACACATCCACAACTCGTATGGTGCTCGGTATTTTCGTCGCATACAAAAAATACCGCAGTGTAAATCATTGCGGACAAAATTTTGCGATATTTTATAGTACAAATATCTATGCATCACCAACTAACTTCGTTGAAAGTAATATTGAAAAGTGAATTGAAAAAAGATTTATATTTACAAAACCTAGGAAGCTTTTTGTTATCACATTGGAAAAATGATAGTTTGTACTTTAAAAAAATATTACGATATTTTGACCGCAACGATTTGTACTGCAACAGTCGGTTCTATGATGAAAAGTTCGATCACCGTCTTGTATATCTCTGTTGTATTAATTTTCAACGTCGTAAATCTTTTCTTTCCGAAAGGGTGAGCTAACTGTTAGATGAGTGCTACTTGTTTTTTTTCACAGTATTTGTATTTGCCAACCTGGTATCTCGTAAACTTTTTTTTGCGTTCCTTCTGTAAGTATTATTATCATTTGTGATCATGTCAATCGAAACAGCTATGAAAGCTAATGATAACCTGTGTATGTCGTTTTCGAGTGTAATGATAAAGAGAAAAAAGATTCGAAAAATACTCGATAAAAATATTAACTTCGACATAGTGTCAAAGTATCCTTTTTTTTTCTTTCGTTTCACTTTGTTGATATGATGTAAAAGTAAGACTAGTAGGTGAGCAAATAGAAAATTTTTTTGCTTCAGAAGGTGGAACACGAAACACGAAGGAAAAATGTTTTAGCTTTATGAAGCAATACATATCCTACAGGGTGTGAGTGAGTTCCCATTGATCTTCCTTAGATCGGATCGAGTGCGATTTGAATCTTGACAAGTATTCATTTTCTTACCGAAATTACTTTTCCTAATCCAATTAACAGATTTCTAAGTATTTTTTCCAAGATTGATTTCAAAACAATGTGTCATACAGTGATCGATTCATAGTATTTATATATTGTCACGAAGGTTACAACGATTCTGAAACAATTTCATAATTTATTCTTCTCTGCAATATGAACAAATCCATAGTAATTTGAGTAGATTACGGTATTAGCACAATTTTAAAATAACTAGAAAGTTTCAAGTGATATTACGATATTGTATGCAAGAATAATAAATTCTGAAATTATTATACTGGAAGGAAATAGATATTTTAGCATAAATAAACGACTACGATTTTTCGGTTTAAATGCATCAAGTGTGGTCGGATGCAAATCATACTTTATCTGAATGGATTGGATCCGGATTGAGTTAGAGAATATTAGGTTGGGCGTTGATTAGAAAAGTTGAACCTGTGTAGACACGAGTCTTTAAACGCTTTCTGTATTTTAAGATGTAATACCTAAGATGGCAGTGAGTTTAACATCTTTTCGAGGTGATATTGCTCTTATCACAGGAGGCAATAAGGCAAGCACATCGTGCAAAGAAAATATTGAAGATTTTTCTGATATTACTATAGGGAATTGGATTTGAAACTGGCCGTCAACTCGGCGAACAAGGTCTTATAGTTCTCATTGCGGCTCGAGATAAAACACGAGGCGAAGAAGCAGTTCGAATATTGAAAAAATGAGAATATTCAGGCCAAATGGATTGAACTTGATGTAACAAGACAAGAAATAATCGATAATGCAGCTCAACAAGTTTTAAACGACTATGGTCGGCTCGATATTTTAATTAATAATGCAGGTGTTCGTCTGGAAGGTGAACCTCCGAGTCAAACTCTTATGACTAAAATGCGTGAAACATTCGAAACAAACTTTTTTTTGGTCCTTTTGCTGTAACGAAAGCATTTCTTCCTTTGTTAAAAAACTCCGATAAAGCACGAATTGTCAATGTATCAAGTCGAATGGGTTCCTTTGGAAAGCCATTACCAGTTCCTAGTCGGTTAGCTTATGCAACATCTAAAGCAGCTCTCAACATGATGACTGTTCAATTTGATAAAGAATTTCGTACACAAAACTGGAATATTAAAATCAATAGTGTTAATCCAGGCAAGTACTAACTTAGCATCTCTGAAAAAAAAAACGAAATTAAAATCTTTTTTTGACGTTTATATCTTAGGATTGGCAAAGACCGACATGAATAATAATAACGAAAGTTATCCTCCACCAACACAAGCTGCTAGAGCTATTGTTCATTTTGCAACATTGCCTGACGATGGTCTATCTGGAGCATTCTTTGATTCAGAAAAAAATCAAATGCCATGGTAGAACAATCGAAGAATAACATTTTTTAAGATAACGTAACTTGATCACTTACTCAAATTTCCCGTTTAAACATCTGCATACAATAAAGATTTCACAAAAAAACATCGATCCCAGTAGAATTTTTTATGTCTTAATACAAACCCTATAAAAAATCATTTGCAATTCCTCTGTCAAGTTATAAGCCCGAAAAACACACGGTTTCAATCGACTATATGTTATGTTGCATTATATAACATCATAGATTAAATCTACCGTAGAAATGACACGTCTTTATACCATAGTTAATTATGTATTTATTTTTCTCTTTCTATTTGCCAGTTACAAATTTTATTTAGAGATGTTTCATCAACGACGTTGAATTCATCAGACTATTATAGTTGTAATGTTAAACAAACAGGATAAAGTGAAATTAATAAGTACAGTTTACATAGACACTTTGTCTTTACTCTACTTTGATAGTGGAGATGATCAAGACGGATATACTGAAAGAAGGTTTTTTCAGTCGTTTCATGATCAAAATAGAACGGAGAGCGAGCATGAATGTAAATCGTATGTGTTTATTTATTCTCTCTCGTATGTTTCACATTATTAATAATATACCAATGAACTAAATATCGTTGACGAAATGTTCCTAAATAAAATTTGTACTAATAGAAAAAAAAAAGGACTACATAATTAGTAATTTTCTTCCTCACAAGTTATGATTTTGTATCATACCATATCAAAAATATAAAGTTCACAAGCTAGACTATTTTAAAAATTTAGTTGAGGGTGTGGGTGGAAATGATTCTACTACTCGCACTCACATTCACATCCTCCTTGAGGTGCAACGAAGACAAAGCCCAAAGCACAAATGAATATGGCTAGCTGAAGATTGGGACTTTGACTTGATCAAGATGCAAATTTCTGTAAGGCGCTTATAATAAAAATACAAATATTAAAAACAAAATTTGTCCTTGAAGTTGTTCTAAAGCGCCATTATATAGTGCGTCAATGGTTGATAACAACAATATTCATATTTCGAATGATGGCACGAGCCTATTAAATGCTTATGTCGCAGAAGTAATCCCTTGCTGCATTTACGACGCTTTTTTCTTCTAGAGAGATTATTTTTTTCGGAGAACAATTGAGTGCTTAAGAAAGTAGTGAAGCAATATCGAATTTCTATTTATCAAAAGATTACGCTGCGCTCCTCTTCACTTTGGGCAAATGCGCAAAATATTGTCTCTTCATCAGATATAAAGATAGGTACCGACGTTATTGGGTCTCATTTCAACACAAGAGATGGTTTCAACAGCAATTCATTGGTTGGCATTCATTTTATTCAGGCAATTCTAAGGTATATTTTTCTTTTATTTATCTAGTGTTGAATAATTTTCCTTTTAAGCCTTACATGTTTGATTTCTATTTTGTTTTACACATCTTCTTATTAATTTAGTCTGTCGCTAGTTCGAGTAAAATCTTAATTCTGTCATAGGATTGCTCAATATGATCGATATTCATTAAATAGTGTATGAACCTGTTTCTACATAGCAGGTGCTATTGATATTGACATTTGCAGTGATGAACTCATAGATTATTCTGAACTACTTCCATATGAACGCCCAAACAACCTTTGTCATGAACCTAACCATAGATGTGTTCATCATCTTCGATGTCATAACCTTCCTGTTTGTTATCGGGTGCCAAGTTTCAATCACCAACTCCGCCCACCAATAGTAAGTAAGAGAACAAACAATGATCTACAGATTTAAATGGAACTCGAGTTTTCTTAAAGTTATTTTTTCATCGTTCATTCACCCTCACATAGTAGTTCATGTTAGTGTAGGAGCAGTGGACAAGAGTTTTTGAAAAAGTAGATAAAGCATGTTAGAGACAAAAAGAATCGTAATCATCGGAGAAAAGGCTTCATTTCTTCTCATGTATCATATCCATTGATTTGAAATACAGAGCCTATTGCAGTTATATCTAGCAATGCATGAATAAGCAGTGAACTCTTATATATATACATCAGAGACCAAAACAAATTGAACAATTGATGATGCGATTCTATTCGATTCTATAGCACGTACCATGTGTTTGGATCTACATAAGAGCACGTCAAATCTACTGTGCCACACTTCTCTTTATTCATAGTTTTCGTTGTATACTCGACTGATTCTTGTGAATATTGATCATTTAGCTCTAACACAGTAACCGCTGAAGCTCAAAAGAGCTTTAGCAATTAAATGGGATGAATATACCACTTGTAACCAGTGATCCAACTGTGTATGTAAATTGTTTTTTCACAGCTTCTAACACCACTCACTTACGAGGGAAGTTTCCCAAGTGATCAATCTCTTTTTCGTAGACACATACATGACTGTATGCAGTTCACTGTGTCGATTCCACATATCAGAGTCTTAGCAGCCCTTAGGCCTTTCTAGATTCTGTGTCATTACTCTAAGTTCCTTCTGGTAGGAGTGTTTCTTATGAAATTCAATCTTTTAATTAGTCTACCATATACCACCAGACAAATTATCCACAGGAATATTTTTTCATAGACACTTAAACCTTAAATTTCAAGCACTAAGCTATAAAGCAGTGAAATAATTCGTATATTGATTACAAACAGTCATCTGACATTTCTTTTCATTTCATTATCATATATTCACAAATTAACTATAACTGCACTATATTCAGTACAGTATATATCAATGAAAGAAATAGAAAACATGTATGCTAATTTCTCAAAATATAAAATATTGGCACTGTGAGAAGATATTTCCAAGACAAGCGGTAAACTGAGCGAGATTATGTAATGCAATACATAAGATAAAATTATTTTTTTATCCTTTCATTATGTGAAAAATATTAACCCCAAAGGGCACTTTTGAATATTTAGTCTTTTTCTGTCTTACGATTCATCTTAGCGTTTGAAACTTAAGATTGAAATTTTTAAAACATCCCTATCAGAAGGGGTTCAGAGTAATGATACAGACTCTAGAAAGGCCTAAGGACTGCTAAGACTCTAATATTCGGAATCAGCACAGTGAACTGCATACTGTCGTGTATATTTCTACAAAAAAGTGATTGATCATTTGTGGAATTTTCCTCATTAGTTGCCTCAGTAAGATACTAATAAGTGCAGAATGCATCTTACCCAGATCATTTTTGAAACCGCTACTTCTTTTGGAGAATTTTTCTTGAGAGACGAATGTAAGAACTCAGACTGTGTGATGGTGCGAAGTACGAGAGAAAGAGTTCGTAATAATTTATCTGTATATTAAGTATTCTCTTCTTTCGAATATCTCTGTAAATTCATTTCACTTATACTGCTGATATGACAGCAGAGTATTCTAGTGGTCTAAAACGAACACACTAGCCGGTAGGCAACTTATGTGAGAGGTTGAAATTACAAATTTCATACTTCGAATAATCGTTATGTACTGCAACGACAACTAGTGCATTTTAATCTTTACTTGTATTCAAAATACAACAGAAATAATGAATTCCAGCAGAATGGTCTCGATGGATTCTGTTCAATTCAATTCGATTTGATTCAGTCGAATAACATTGAATCGCACTATCGAAGATCTTTCTGAGTTTTCGGTCTCTGATGAACACAGAGGTTTTCCATCAAAAATCAGTTTTGAAAGAAAACAAATGCTTTTCAAATCATTTGAGGTCGTCGCTCTACTTCGAAAACACTACTTAGACTTCACATAAAACCTAAATACACCCAGTTCTATATCCCATTCTATGTGAGATCTATAACTATCTGCTTTAGTTGCAAGAGCTGGGCAAATCAAGTCAAGTCAGACTTGACTTGGGAAAATTGTTTAATACTCCTGACTTGACTTGACTTGGCTTGACTTGCAGAGCTGGGGAAGTCAAGTCAAATCGAGTCAAGTCAAGTTATATGTATTAGTAAGTAATTTTTGTTTATTTTAGGTATTGTTTTTACCATGACATAGAACTCTGAGGCTGTAAAACTTTTCTCTCATCCGAAAGATCCTAACAAATTTTATATTCTGACTATTTTTAACTAGACTTGACTTGACTTGGAGGAAAATTTCGAGGTATGACTTGACTTGTCTTTTCTTGGTCGAAAAAATATTGAGGTTTGATTTGACTCGATCGAAAAAATTTTGAGGATGTGACTTGACTTGACTTGAAAATTTTTTTAATGACTTAACTGGACTCGTGACTTAAAAAACCTCTGACTTGCCCACTCTGTGGGTTACACAAATGTTCTATAATAATGAACAGCACTGAACACTACAACTGCAACTACAATTCCAACTATAACGATTACTGCAATCACTATTCAGTAGGTAGGTAAACATTAAATTAACGCTTCTTAACCTTGGCAAATGTTAATTTTTACTCAAGTATACATAGTTTCTTTGTATGCAATAATAGTCTGCAGCTAGCTGAAGGTCACACTGATAAGATCAGGGATCTTATATTATAAGTGATTCAATTTTAATCATATAAAAAAAACAAGCCATATTAATCCCGAAGTTGGCTATTTTTCATCACTATCGAAGTTTGATTCATTTTATTGACAGCTATAAAACAAAATTCATTCTTCCTCTTCATTTTATAAGAATGCACTTTATTCTAAGCATCTCCTCCTTCTCATCTTTACCTGAATTCGGGTAATTTTGAAGTCGGATATCTCAATTCTGTCGGACATCATCTTGAAACATTCCACTCATAGTTTTAGCTACAAAAATCGTAGAGAGCTTCGCTTCGATTTCCGAGAGGGAGTATACATTTCATCGTCGAATGATATCATATTAGTCAAAGACTGGTTAATTGATAATTCATGAGAATTGTTAGAATAGATCCAGAAAAAATTTTGATTGTTATGTCCGCTACATGCATACTACTTACTATATATAAATTAAGTAAGAGTACTTAATATATGCAGAAATATATCGACTCGAGTCCTAAAAGATCTTTAGTAATGATTTACTAAAAATGCATAAAATATTGAAATAAGTTCAAAACTCATGATGTATCCAGGAAGAAAAGCGACTGGAACTTTTAATGGACTTTATGAAAGGATAGAGTAGTGTCGAGTCTAGATAGTCCTAAAACTAGAGGTGTTTTCTCTGTTTTCGTCTTTAAGTTATTCAAAAAACGGCCACGACCATTTAACTCTGAAATGGACTATAGAAAAAGTTTCTAAATTTTCATCTGCGGAAAGAACATTGTCGAAAGTTTTGTCAAATTCCTTTCATAGACGAATGTCTCATTTGTAGCTCTCGCTCTCGTGAGGGAGGACGATTTCTTTTCTTTTTCTTTCATTGTAGTAATTCCCAATATTCCAGTCGATACTCGATGGACACAGAATGGGATGGCCATTGCTGGATGCCCTAGAAAGGGATTACCACAAATCAGCTCTGGCTGCTTCATGGTCTTTTCATTGATGATAATCAAACGATGGTCGTCGCTAACTTCGATAATCATCGTATCATCCAACAGAAGATGGATGATACGAATGGACAAGTAGTAGCTGATGGCCATGGCAGACAAAAACGATTGGACCAATTGAATAAACCAACCGATGTGTTGATTGACAAAGAGACTGATAGCATCCATATCTAAGATTGACATAATCGACGAATCATACTATAGTCTAGTCGCAATGATACAACTCAAGGAGAGATCCTTCTCGACAATATCGATTGTTGGGGATTGGCCATGGATGATCATAGATCTCTCCACATCTCTGATACCGACAAACATAAAGTAAGACGATATCAAACAGAAGATAAGAATGGAACTGGTGTGATCGGTGACTATGGACAAAGTAATGGTTTCAATTACTCAACTGGCTGACTTACGTCTTTGTCGATCAGCAACAGCTTGTTTACATGTCAGATTACAACAATCAGCGTATGATGCAATGGAATATAGATGCAAAAGAACGAATGAAAGCTCTCACACCATCACTTTTTCCTGAAGGACTGTTCGTCAATACTTTGGACATTCTCTATTTGGCAGACTAGAAGAATCACTGAGTGATTTGTTAGCCTAAGGGAGCGAAACAGGACAATGTCATTGTGGGTGGAAATGCTTACGGAGCGGGAGCAAACTAATTGGCTTCTTCCCTTGGTATGTCCTTCGATCGATATCGCAATCTATATGTCGTTGATTCTTGGAATCATCCAGTCAAACGTTTTTCTGTCGAATAGACTCATCACGACTATTAGGTTTTTTTGTATCTTTCCTTCCAATAAATCATGTTGATTGATTAAAGGAATTGTTATTCTATTTGCACGCGCGTGACTAGGAACCACTCTGGTGGAGCCATAGCGAGCGCGAAACTCATGCATGAGCAGGACAGACTCGAATTATTTACATAAGATGTGTCAAAGGATCTGATAGAGGCCTAGCCGTGTATCATGGACACCAAGATAGCTTCTAGTCGAACTTTTAGGGCCTATTCGGAAGGCCTTCAATTAAGCAAGGGTCTCGAAAGGACTAAATCATTCCACCTCTCTTTAACAAGGGCTCTAACAATCATTTAGTCCTATCTAATCTCATCCCTCTTCTTTCTCCGATTCTCACGTTGATGATGACGACGCGATGATATTGATGGCTAAAAGGAAAGAAAAAAAAAATTAATTAAAAAAACATTCGTTTACCTGGAAGATTGAGACTTAAAAAATAAAAAGGAAAAAAAGAATCAAAAAAGATCAAAGAAGGCCTTGACTATCATCCTTACGATCCAAATGAAAAAGAAAGAAAACTAATACCTATATGTCTGTTATTGTATTGCTTCATATTGAATTGTTTGGTGTAGTATAATCGAAAGCAATATAAAATATAAAATAAGAAATTAGTTATTTGATTCAAATAGTTGAATAGTTTTCGCATGTTATGTAGCAAAAATCAGGCTATTTAGCTTAACTAGTATTTGGAGATATCGTGGTCAATGGAATGTCGAGCTTTATCGCAAATGATGGGCACGAATCTTAGATTTTCATTGATAGTTCCGTTGTTCTTGTATGATAAATGACTAAGATAAAATGTTTTATCGTCGATCATTTTGTACATATTCTCGCATCTCACTAAAAGCAATTTTTTTATCATTCGAAAAATATCTCGTTTAATGAACTGGTTTGTTCATCCCAATCGTCACACGAATGACACAAGAATCGGGCGATGACCATCTTATCCTAAAGGTCATCATCCTATACCTGCTGAATTAGCACGAAATATGCAAGTACAATACAACCACTCAATTGGAATGAACAAAACATGTTTGAAAGAACGTAATCGTCTGTGCAAGGCATGTTATTATAGCGAACGTGTCCGTTTCGATAAACTTTATCCACGTCAAGCCGAATCAATGGAAATTGATGGTCAAGAAGGGGAGGAATAGCAAGATTCAACTGATGTCACACCGAATATAATCGAAGACGAAATGGAACAAGAAAATGAAGAGAAGGGTGTTGATGACGAAGCTGATGATTCTTTCTGTCCATCGAAAAAAGAACAAAAAACGAACAATCAGATACTCAATAAAATTTTACAATTGCCTGACATTACTCAAATAACCGGTGCGTTAGTATACATTATTTTGACCTAACAAAAATATCTTCTCGACTCTTCCTTGTAGACAGCACATTCAAGTTCTTCGAGAAAAATTGACGATGCTCATATTAAAACGCAAATGTTATGCGACCGTATTATCAATCGAAATGAAGGTTCAACAAGATCATGTCGTGTTAAGCTTAGCGTGGCTGATTCCGACACATTGATCGGAGCCTTACAAACCTTGTTCGAGAACAAGTCCAAAAGTGAACAAATTTGTCTATTCACAATCGCACCGGTCGCTTGGAGCTGGAATAAAATCGTCAACTTTTTCAATTATATCGAATATCAAGCACGAGCAGTAACTAAGCTACGATAAATGGATGGTATACTTGCTTTTCCAACGTCTTTTTGAGAAGATGAACCTGTAAATCCTGACACTATTGAGCAAATACTCAATTATTACCGTCGTGATGGTATCAGTCATCCTGCTCCTAATCGGAAAGATGATATCTTGATCAATAGAACACCGATCGACAAAGGATTTATAAAAATAACAATACTACAAGCATTTCATTTGTTTTCTATTGACAATCCTTTGTTAAAGAATAGGAAACCCAAATTATTCACATTATGACCAAAAGACATCAAGCCGGAATCACCTCAAGAGGTTTGTCTATGCATTTACCATGAGAACATGTCGCTTTTACTGAAAGTAAGGATAGTCTTATTGGGTCTACCAGACTTCTATTTTCCATTCAAAGCATGAAATGCAAAGGTCAGCAGCAAGATCACATTGAACGATCTAATCGAATTTGTTATTTGTGATTTGGAGAGTGAAGAATATTGCTCACATACTTGTAGTGACTATGCAAGCAAAGTACTACTATCTATCCTATTCGAAGGAGAAAATCTCGATGAAGACGAAGTTACTTGGACAATATGAAAATGAATCAACAAAAAGGAGATGCTAAAAACTGTTTCCAGTTCAATGATCTCTCTTCTTAGGGAAATCGATGAGTGTTGGACGATTTTTCTCTATCATGTTTTCGTTAACCGATAAGAACGCAAATATATTGAAATGATTCGTGAATTGTTGAGCGATAACAACTGCATTGGCGCTCAAATTGACTTTGCTGAAAACTACAAATTTGTTCAACAACAAGAACCACAAGGTACCAATCGAAACACCAACCAAGTCACGCTCCTCACAGTACACTTAAAAAAAGGCAGACAACATTGCTGCATGGCTTTTATCAGTGATTATATGATCATAATTCAAAGTTTATTTGGTTGGCTCAAAAGACCATTACAAGCTTTGTGAAAGAATCATTGTCATTCGAAATGAAGTATCTGGAAAATAACTATGAACATAGAGAAACAAAAGAAGACACACAACACAGAGATGTAAGAGTAAACATATATTTCTCTCCTTATGTCATGAATACAATTCGTGACATAATAAGAGCAATGCATACATGACAATGGAAATCGATTCATTACGATACGCAAGTAAATAGATTCAAATCGATCAGCAGATAATAGTTAGAACAGTCTGAAATAGATTTGAGTCTTCTAGTTATAACAGTAGATTTCGATAAACATAATAAAATGATTCTCATTTAATTTCAATATATCTTTTTATTCTTAAAATTCTTATATTGTATAAAAACAAATGATAATTGTTTCGAAATACAGCGATACGAAGACATTTTTATTGTATTCTTTGAAATTTCTGTATGCGACTATTAAATGTATCTGAAACATATAAATTAAGTTCTGAATCAAATGCAACATCACCCGGAAAACTTAATTCATAACTGCTATTGCCCGATTGACCGTTACCTGCAATTGTTATACCAAATACAGAATTTGGGCAAAACATTTGTATTCGATTATTTTGACAATCAGCAACATATAAATTACCATAAGAATCAAGAGTTATACCTTCTGGATAAAATAGTTGAGCTGAACTATTTCCAAATCTTCCAGGTATACCAGCATAAATATTATGAGGTTCATAATCACCAATAAACCATTGTGTAATGGAATGAGAGTCGTGATTCGATATATAAAAGATCTGATTTGGTTCATCATAATATAAACCGAATGGATTATTTAATTGATCCGGATTAAGACCTGCACCATTACCACCCTAGAACAAATATTTAGATCAAGTATATTCAAATAATTTGTTTAACATTTTCAATAGATAAAGAAAAGCTCAACATGATTTATTCATTGATCAGTATAACTTTGAGCTTAGTTTCCTGTCTTTAATTCCATTTTTGCATACATTTTTATTCACTCAAATGAATACTGTGATTTGTAATATATTTGAATAGTTTGTATTTTGTTGGGTGTCTTTGATAACAGAATGATCTCATACCGAAGTATAGGCAATTATAGCAATCAAATCATCTTTCTCTTATGAAATAGAAGTGAAATCGACAACTTACAGCCATAATTGTGCCAACAGATGTTCTTGGATCAAATGTAGATGGCCATCTTGTTATACGTTCATTTTGTGTATCAGCAACGATTATATTTTTCTTTGAATCAAGCAAAACTCTACTTGGATAACCAAATTCATTTAATGCTGAACCACGAGTACCATTTCCAGCTACGGTTCTACCACTTTTGGCATTTTTTTTCCAAAGTTGAATTCTTTGATTACTCGAATCAGCAACAAAGACATTTTCATTTTCATCTGCAAAAACATCTACTGGATTCCATAACGTATCTGCTGTTGTTCCGCCTGTACCATTGGCTTGTCCAGCAGCTGTTTTAATTTCACCATTTGGATAACGTTTTTGAATTCGATTATTAGAATTATCAGAAATATATAAAATTTGTGTTTTAGGCTCAAGAAATAAACCTGTAGGTAAACTTAATTGATTAAAGCCTGATCCATAACCATTACCAATAATTGTTGTTGCTGTTCTACTCCATTTAAGATTGCCTGGACCTTATATTTGAATCATAATATTTAATCGTATCATGTATAATTTAAGAAATCTGTAGTTATACTATCTTATTCTTCCTTTGAAAATTTTTCCCACTTTTAATCTTACGAAAAAGGTCTAGATAGCGATGTCTTAAAAGTGTCGAAAAAAGAAAGCATGAGTTAAAATCCAAACGTTATTAGCTCGTCTTTTCTTGTTGATCGACAGCATACTCTTTATACTTTTTAAGTAAATGTTCGAGATTGTTTATTATTCACTATGGTAGGTTTACATAATGAATGAATGTGCAAATTTAGTAGCTCCTGACGAGTCCACATGAATATCATTATATAATTATTCACGCATTTATATGCAATATTTTCCTACACTTGCACTCATTTTTCATACTCGTAATTGGCTGAGTTTTGAGATGTAATACGCCTTTGAAGTTTGTTGAGCAAGAGTTTCAAAATTGTTTCGTATTGATTTCTTTAAGTTAACACATAATAGGCGTTTTAAACAGTTATTCCTTGCGAAAATAGAGATCACTTCCATCATAAATCTAAGGATTTATACAAAATCCAAATTCTATCTCATTAGAAAACGGTACTGCTACACTTTTTTATAGAAAACCAGTCTATTAACTAATATAAAATCAACCGATTTTTCATCGATTGAAGTTTGTAGGTGAACCGAACAGATGTGATCAGTTGGAAAAATCTCAACCGGTTTCAACGCTGCTCTCAGCTTGTTCAACAACTTAGACACCTAAAATATCAAGCGATACCCTTAAAGAAGTTTAAAATATACTACTTCACAACGATATATTAACTTAATTTGCACTTACATTCGCTTGATTCTTTATAAAAATGCTGACCTACAAAAACAAACAGACAAATTAAAGAGAAACTAATTGTTATATTTAAAATGTTATCATACACTTACCATTATTTACATTAATTAACCTAAAAATACAAAAAATTTATTTAATACTTCTCAATAATATTTAATAATCGATTGGGAAAGTGCGCTTATAGAACTTGTTTGATTTCAGAATGACTACATAGTCTCATCTATTCAATTTTGATACTTACACAAATAAGCATAATAAATATCGCAACATTATTTTATTAGCTTTGTTGCTTTATTCTTTCTTGCAGAGAAATGATAAATGTCTGTGTCTCGCACACCTTTTTAATTTTGTATCTTTCTTTATCAATGCATTATCATTTACGCATAGCATATTTCTATATCATACTATGACACGAAGAAAAATGAATGCGTGCAAAAATTCAAACAAGATACTTAGAAAAGAAAATACGTATATTTTTACGAATTACTATAAAATGAATCGAATGCCTAAAAGAAAAAAGGTAATCGCTGTCAAATATTTACATTCATTAACTTGACTATGTGTTAGAACATGCCTGAGTATTAATCCACACTTGTCATGAACATTGATGAAGTTATAAATAAGATTTGACGTAGTGGAAATATGCGGCTATAAAATATTGATCCTTCATTGAAACACTTTTCATTATGTCGAACAGACTAAGTTTATTTGTTTTCTCCATCGAAATATATTATAAATAATTTTTTTTCTTGATTATGCTTTGGGTTGTTTTCTTCCATAGAGCAATGACTCGATATTTTCATTGTTAAGACTATGATTTCGTATCAAACTTGGTATTCTTTGTTGGAGTACGCAATTTGAATACAGTTTCAAATTTGCTTGAGATTTTTCGCATGCGGGTAGTTCTGGTATTGAAATATATGTTAACTTATTCAACATTGTTCATCTATAGACGGTCTGTCTTTGAAAGTTCTTGGTATGCTCGAAAATAGTAGTTATGCAACGAATACAGGTGAACCAAAATCTAGACAATGTACGTTTTCCGACGAAATCAGCTAATTTTTTTGATATGAGGATCGCCTTTCTTTCGGATGTGGAGAAAATTCATGCGCACACCTACACCCTTAGAGTCTGTTAATGGAAAGAAAACATTGCTTCTTTATCTAGTGGCATAATCATCATTGAGGGGAATTAACCCTTTAAGTACCGGATTATTTTTATATAATAAAAATTTTTATAATTTCAAACTAACATTTATTTTGCAAAAAATATCACAAAGTACAAGAATTAAAATGTTTGTAGAGTGTGATAGTCTTTAAAACAATCCATAAGACACAATCCCACATCACATTCAATGCATTCATACGAAGTATCTCTTCTTGATCTGGCTCTTCTCACAGTATTGACACAAACGCAACATTTTCTTCTTGGATTTAGTTGAGCCTCTGTTGATTCAATGCGCAAAGGAAAATGTTATCAAATGTGATCAATTGATCAGAATCTTTACTATAGATAACACTCTTGAATGACCGTGTTAATATGAAAAATTCTGTTGATAACAATTATTCTTTCTTGAGAAATGTTGTCCAATGACTTATGTTCTAATTCATTGAATCACATAGTGGTCGATAGAAATATTAGGGAACAACCAATATTCATCACTAGGTACAGATAGTCTTAACCGTATAAATATCCTAAACGCAAATATTCATGTAATTCATACCATAAAATAATCAAAGGATCATGTTTTCTAAAGTTATTCAGACTCTAAACTATCAGGATGCGAACTCGCGTCGCCGGCACTCAAAGAGTTAAGGCTAAGTCTCACGAATGAATTATTATGCCTCCAAAGTTTACTATCGTTTTCCTATAAATGAAGATATTTCGCCTCAGCAGTGGTCAATACTGTACCTCCTGGTATGCTGCTGCCTTTATCTTTAACATAAATAGACTAGTCATATATCGATTGATTAAAAACACTTGATAAGTTCTTTTACGAAAACAATTGATAGAAAATGGCACGAATACAAGTTTGATCAGGTGGTTAAAAAAAAAACTATTTAAATTTGTTGTTCATGATTCGTTCGTTTAGGCGAACAATGAATCTACTCATGCATGTAAGCATCACAAAAATCATGAAAAAACGAAATTTTTTTAAAAATCGACTAAAAACACCCTTTTCGTAATTTTTGTGATGCTTGTAACTTTTTACGAGAAGTTCGTAGAAAACTCGACGACCCCTCATTTTGCTTAGAATTTTGTGTTCTTTAAGATGGCGTCGTTCAAAAATACCTCTGACAAAGCCTTCTAGAACCTGAAAAATACTGTGTTCGGTTTTTTAGGAGACTTGCTATAAAGTGTATTGAATAAAAAACTCCATTGGCGATTAAAATCACTATTTCGATTGGAGCTACGTGCTTAACATTATGAAAAAAATCGTTGTTTCTAAACTTTTTTTCCACCACTTTACAATGATAATTATGTTCAGGATGTAGATGTTGATCTTCTCTTAACCCAAACCACAAAACCACGTCCATATCATCGATAGAATTGATATCGGCGATTGGCTACCAGCATACTCAATCTTTTTTGTGGGGCTATTAGAAATAACTGTTGAGCTTAAAATAGTCAAATTACATAAAAAATGAATAAAAACAATCGCCTTTCATTTTGAAACTGACTATCCTATAACCAATTGTTCGACTAGAGAGACGCAATCAGTACTGGTACGGATTTTAGACCGGCTGGTCTAAAAGGGCGTGTAAGAATTAAATGATCTGTTTGAAAATCTACATGTAAAATTGTTGAACAAAATTCAATTGTTCTTAGTAAATCAATATTGAGTGTTGAATCCAATCGTTGGTAATAATGATTTATTAAGTAAAATCATTAGTAATATTCGAGCTTTTACAAGATAAAACTATACGTCATTTTCCTTGATATGAATATTCATAGTCTTCATCGTCATTTTCATATGATAAATTTCTATGTTTTTACTGTAATCAATCTGTGTTTTAGAGTACGTTTACTTTATGAGATGAAGATAAAGATATCTTCGAGAAAATTAGATATTTCCTTATTTTTATATCATGAAAATAATGTTTTATTTGTTTTTCAAACATCAAAGAAAAGAATAATTTTTAAAAAAAACATGAAAATTTATTATTACAAAAAATATACAACAGATATGGAATCGGATTCTTCTTCATTTTAATCATATCTGCACATTGATTGGTGTGATTCACACACACATACAACACAACGTTGCGGGTGAGGGTGCTGTGATTAATGTGAAGAAGTACCCGAGATCAAAAAGACTGAATGCTCATTGCCTTGATGTATAATGAGAATAAATATCTATGGATAACAGCGACATCTATTGACTTAAACACGATTTGTCGTTTATATAGGTATACTTTTGGTCAGTTTTTCCTCGTTCTGTCGAATTATCTATTCACTTTTTTTTGTTTTTGTTACTTTTATCGTTATCAATTTGTTACAATTGAAGTTTATATGCAGTTCTATCAATTGAATATATTATCATTCTTTTTTTTTTTTTGGCATTTCATTATCAAATCAATAAATTTAAATTCAATAATGATATCAAATAAATACATATTTATCATTTATAAAAATTTTTAAATAAAATTAAAAATTATTTATTTAAGATAAGAAATAAGTAGGATGATGAATATTAACATTTATGAAAATTTTTATTTATTTTTCTTGTTAATTTAGATAAACATGCCAAAAACATTTGTCTTTAAATAATTCATTTGTAAAACTATTCAAATTATCATTTGATTTATAACAAAAGGAATATAATCAAAACAAACTTGGATTAATCATTGATCTATTGAATATAATAGTCCATATGGCAAAGGTTGTTTTTTTTTTTGGTTTGAAATTAATTGCTCGACTCATGGATTTTATATACAGTAATGTTTATGATGTACGTAGCTTTTTAAAAACAATATAATGAATTAGAAAGACGTCAGAAGAGAATCTGTCTTACATACATATTGACTCCTATTAATATGTATTCTCTATGATTATAAATATATGTATTTTTTTTTCAGAAAACTTTAATTCGTAGATATGAGCTAGTGTCAACACTTGATTAATTCTGTATTCTCGGAGTTCATGAGAATGATGTTTACTTGAAATCTATTCCTTTTTTGTTTAGTTGACATGTGAAGAAATTAAAACAAAATTTTGTATTATGATCAACAAGTGCATTTGATGTATTTTGTTTATTAATTTGAGCTATATATATTATCATTTAGTAAGATTTAATTTAATCATGAATTATTGTTTTACTTATATTTTATTTTAAGATATACAAAATATTTTTTTTATCAACAATCTATTTTCAAATATCGATATTCGACGCATCGGAACTCATAACTTTCGATTCTTTTTGTAAATTTCTTTTTATACTTTATTCTTAGATAAATTTAAAACAAATTTTTATATTAAAAACAAAAACAAAAACTTGAAATGAAATTTCTTATTTTAGTTAAATTATTTTCTAAGTGATGCGTCCAATGGATCATCACGATAATTCACAAAATAGTACTAATAATATTATAAAACGAGACAATAGCAATCATTCAAGTCCAATACCATCATCACCACCACCAAATAATATACGTGTCAATAGTATTTTACGAGTGATAACAATATTTGATGATATTCGTACTGGTAAAGTCGTGGCATATGATCCTCCATCTAATTTGGTTACATTACGTAAGTTAGAAAATAAAGAAAGTTTTACATAGAAAGAGACAGATTTCAAGTACGCAGACGATTTGACATTGAGACGTACATGATGTATATAGCACCGAATCAAGAGCGATTTAGCACTTAGAAATGTTCCCTTATTAGCTCAGTCGATGAGGCGAATCATTTTGGAAAAAAAAGCTCGAATCGGCTGCTAACTTCTCTTAAATTTTTGTTCAGAATTCCTATGAATATCTAGTAAAACTTTTATTGATTTTTTTCAATCAGAGATTCAAAGTAATTTTTTGTGTATCCCAGTTAAATGATGGAATCGAAAAGATTTTTTAATTGACACTATATATGAAAGAAAGTGGCGCTTTTCCAACCAGACCTTAGACATTCTTAGTCTTAGCAAAAAAATCAATACTTTAGAGGAGAGTCATTTATGGAGTATTTTGGAGGTTTTTATTGTAGGAAGTTGATTCTTATATAAAATAAGTATGATATTCGGAATCAGCATGAAAAAATACACTAGAAACTCTATTTTTCATGAAAACTTGACCGAAGGACAAAACTTAAGGAATAAAAGGTTGAGAAGGAGTACGAGTCAAATTTTCATGTAAAATATTTTACAATGAAAAATAGAGTTTCTAGTACATTTTTTCGTGCTGATTTCGAATATCATACTCATTTTATATAAAAATCAACTTTCGACAATAAAAATCTCTAAATATTCCATAAATGGCTCTCCTCTAAAGCATTTATTTTTTTTGCTAAGACTAAAAACATCCAGGGTCGGATCCGATGATTTTGTATTCTCACACTGTTCACAATCAGAAAATAGTTGAACGAAAAAAAAAAATTTGCGTGGGGATATAAGCATCAATTCCTTTCTACTCAAACATAGATAACCTCATTTGAGCTATTTAAAAAGTCTTGGTTATAATTAGCATTTCGGTTAGCACCAATCAGTATGTTATACATTCGTATATCATTTCACATTATTCTTACCTTTATGTGCGGCTAATATCGAAGGTCATTTGACTAAGACTACCAATAATACCTAAATTTTCAATTCGAATCCATGGGAACGCTGCCGTCGTGGCGGTGATGGCAGATTTTTTTCAAAAACTATTGCAACGCGGGAGAGATGTTTATCATGCCGTTGCTACTGTAGTGATCGATTATCAACAGTAGTTCTAGTTCAAACCAGCCACGGCCTTGAAAATCGAAACAATTTTTTAAATATCATCATGGAAGATTCTTAGCTGCGATGAATATCTATGATTACAGTAACATATATCAAGGAAAGGTGAATAGGAAAAGGTCCAGTCGATTTCCAACTTCATCAGTTGTTTTTTTCTACTGAACGAAGAAAAAAACCGCTTTGCATAGATTTAATCATCCACCGAACCCGAACGTTCCGGCTCGAGTCTTTCTAGATCCAGACCCGTCCGAATCCAAAGTTTTATGTTTTTTTTGTCGGGTCCGGTTATACGTTTTTATGGACTCGCTGTTCCCCAGATGAGAAATTCAGCAACAAGATATAACTGTACGTTGAGTTTTTGTCTGAGAATAGTGAATAAATAGTTGAAACCTTGATTCTTCACTTGTGCATGTACACGATGGATTTCGGTCTTGAATGCATTCATTTTCAGTTAATTAATAAAACTAGGAAGTAAAAATAAACTAAAAAAGACACTTTCACAGCTGACCATGATGAGTCTACAGATAATGAGTACATTATTCAAATCCGAACCTAAGGATGCTTCCATAATCATCTGTATACTTCAAGAAGTGTTTGAATCCACTAAATATCTACATAGTTTTATTTTTTTTTATACCTGAAGAAATATTCTCTAGTTGGAATAAATAATATATATATTTGTTTTGAATTCTTAGATATAAAAGGTACAAAACCAGGTTCAACATCTGTAGCTGTTATTAATCTCAATCATTGTCGTGAATATATTGTTGAACAAGAACCTAAAGATGATATACTTGAACCACTTTATCCTATTGATATTAGTAAAGTAAATATTAAAAAAAAAAAAAAGAAAAAAAGCAAAAAAAAAAATTTCATTGATTAAATAGTTAAAAAAACGTCAAATGGAAAATGAAGCTGAAAAGAAAAAAGAAGCATCTTTTATTAATGTAAAAGCAAGTCGAATTGGTCAAGCACTTTTTCGAGATATAAAAAAAACGTAAATTTTCAAAAAATAATTTTTCTTTTTCTATTAATTTTTTTGTATTCTTATAGAATGAATCAAGTAATTCGTTGGTCAAATAATGATATTCTTATTAATAATGCAGTACGAATTGTTGAACCATATCGTGTAGAAAATGTTTCAATTGATTCTCAAATACAATCAAATACTACAACTAGTATTAAAGCATCAGCAAAAGGTGATAATGATACTAAAACACATATTATTAAATTGGTAAATTAAATAAAAATAAATTATTAAATGAAAAAAAAACAAAATTTGATTGTTTCTTTTTTAATGTTAAGGTAGAAAAATTTTGGTCTGATCAATCAAAATTAACTTCCAATATTGATTCAACACGAACAACTAAATCTGACAGTTCAAGTAAAACAACAACAACAACTGATTCAACATCAACAGCGTCATCAGTACCTTGACATCTTTGTTTATTTTTTTGTCTTTTGGCTATGATCTCAGATGTTCGTGTATATGTGTAATTGTCATTCTTTTTTTTTTTGTTCCTTGTTAATTTCCAACTGATCAAGAATTAGTCGTAAAATTTAAACAAAAAAACAAATCAAATTTTTTTTTTCTTCTTCTCATTCTTTATATTATCCGCATCTTTTATTATACCCTTTTTTTTTTTGTTCATTGGTTAAAACATCAATACATATATATATATATATATTTCATTATTTTTTGCCTACATGTCCGCGCGTTTATTCATTTGTTGTGCAGAATAAAAAAGAAATAAAAATGTCTGCTGCAGTCATTCATCTGACAACAAAAGAGAGAATCATAATGTTATCAATATAAGATAAACACATTTTAAGCGAACCCATGAAGTATAGATAGTATGTATGATGTAATAAACAATACATGTATTGAACTTAAAACTCCATCTGTGCATCTATATGCAATATTTATTATCGATGATATATAAATTCTCAGAGAGAAATTAACGTAGAAATCGTACATATATGTCTATAAAAAGTAATTTTTTTTTTTCGAGTGATGTAAAAAATATTCACAGACGTCTGTTTAGTAGACATTCATAAAAGTAGTAAAAGGATGACATTGATCTTGATAATATGATATAATAAGAAGGCATATCGAGTTTTTTTTTGCTCTATATAACTGACATACTGATTCGATCAGGTTTATTATACAAAATTATACTTCTAATCAAATGCATTCAAGATCAATCGTAATCGGAAGAGACAGGTAAATGACGGAATAAGAACGTAAAAAAAATCAGTCTTTTTTTTTTTCCTTTTTACTTTTCTATAACATTCAAATAACAGAATGATGATCATCAATCATATACAATCGGTAATAACTTGATTTCAAATTATAATTTATTACAAAAACTATTTTTATTCTTGTGGGATTTCATAAAATATCTCTAATTGATTTTGATAATTAATATTTTATCATAATAGAAATAAAAATGGTTGAAATAAGAAATTGTTCAAATATTGCTATTAATCAAATATCAACATCTAATGTTAATTTAATTAAACATAATAATACAGATAAAGATCATTCACATAATGAATTATTATTAAATGTTTCAAATTATTCATTTATTCCAAAACAAACATTAATAATGGTGAGAATATATATTAAATTTTATGAATCTATTCTTATCTATTTGAAATGTAGGCGGAAAAACAAAAGAAGTAATAGCTAATATTATTCTATTTATGAAGAGAAATATTATCTTTTGTTTGGACTAAATTAAGATGTCATATAAGACAGGATGTAAAAAAAAAAGAAACAATCCATCATTTCTATTCATAATAAGATAAGAATAGAACAAAGAATAACATCAAACATATCATTTAGACAAATAGAGACAAAAACAATAGAATTTACTCTTATCTAAGTAGTAGTTCAATTTTTTTTTGTCAATTTAATTTAGTTGAGAATTTATTTTTATATTCAGAATTAAATAGCGCTTTTCCTTATTTAATCTTAATGTTTTTTACACATTGTGTGATATGAATACATATATCATTATCTGTGTATCGATCCTTATCGTTTTCTGATATATGTACCCACACTAAATGATATATTCTACGCATTGATTTGTTCAGTAAGCTATGAAAATATATGGACAGTATAAGAAGAGAATGAGCACATATCAAGATCATTAACTACAATTGATATCTTAGAAGATAAATGATCATCATTATTAACAATTTCCAATGGAAAAATTCTTGGTAAGATTGATTTATTCTTTCTCTGAGGCATTTTGTCATAAACAGCAATAAGAAGAAATCACAAATGGTATTTTTTTTTTTTATTGATCTAAATATAAGATAATAGATTGTTTTAATTTCATAATTATTTTCATTCTTTTTTTTAGAATTCTGATCGTCTCACAGATAAAATATATCGATTAGAAAATAAACGAACTTCTTTAAGTTCACAAATACAATTTTTAATTCAACAATTAAAACATGAACATGATACCATTAATAAATCTAAACACTTACGACAACAACAAAATCAAACAAACCTAGTCAATCGAAATCCAATAATGAATCCTTCGATTGATAATCATCGTCGGGTACGTTTTATAAATATATTTAATTAAATGATTCAATCAGTCTTTATATATGATTTACATAAAAAAAGACATATCTTACTTTGCATATACTCTCGTACACATAAATACATGTTCGAGATTACATTCATAAAGAATCAAAAGTCGTTAATGTCGACCATATAATAGTTATAGACATAGGAAGGTGTCAGAAAGAAAAAAAAAGTGAAAAACGAAAATAATATTCAAGCAAAGTGAAAAGAAAAAAAAAAGAACGAAAGAAGAAATGAAAAGAGAACAAAGTTAGTTTATATACTTTCATATTTTTATCATAACCAATATTTAATTCGTTAGAATAATTCGTTTCTTTTCTTACAAGCAAAAAAAAAAAAAGAAATAACGTAATCAAAACATTTTGACTGTATGACTATTCTTAAAATAAAAAATAACAAATCTCAATTTTTATGCATAGATTAGAATATAAATGTACTAATGTCATCAAAGGTTAGTTTAAATATTTTTAAACTAAGAAAATCATAGAAGATAATATATGTTTTGTATAAGTAATCAAATATTGATATAATATAATTTTAGGAACAACAACAACAACAAGAAACAATACTTAATTCATTTGATTTTTTCAATGAAATAAATCATTTTAAAATTCGTCTTGATACATTAGAAAAAGAACGTTATGAACTTGAAGAAAAAGTTCGACTACTTCAAGTTTGTTTGTTTTTTTTTCTTTTCTTCAATTATAGAAAATTAAATCATTTTTTATTTTTTCAAGGTAGAAAATACAACTTATAAAAATCGTTTTATTCATGAAAATAATGAATGGATAGAATCTCGACCAACATCAATACACAGTGGACATACAAATCTATCATCATTTGCTGGTAATAAATATTTTATGATGTAATAGTTCTTTTGTATACATGGGAGGCGTGCCAACGAGTTCGCTTCTATTTGATCAATATATTTAAAGCAAGGTTAAAGGTTCCCTATGAGAATAAATCGAACAACGGAAGATACATAATAATGATGTTCTACGCGTTCTATTGCTTTTTTTCTTTCTCTACTCTGATATCTTCTTTTTCTTTCTTTCGCATCTATCTTGCTTCTTATAATGTCTATATACAAGATCGTACATTTCATCAAACAATTATCTGTTACTTGATCGATTGTCTGACTAGAAAATATTATCTAGAAATTTAATGTCGTCTTATATTGATGTTGAACAATGTCTCTTTGTCTATCCATATATTACTACTACTGCACTTCTTTCAAAATATTCATCACAACATTCTAATCGTCGTGGTAAGTCCCAAAAAAAAAACGACACTACATTTTTTCACATAATGATATAGTACACGTACCTGCCAAAAGTTCTGATTCCTCTGCCTTGAACCCGCAGTCATTTTTATAAGAATTAAACAGTTAAAATTTGGATATGAATATACTCGACGATGAGTACTGATCAACGATATCAATCGAGTCAGAATAATAGGTACTAGTCATGTTTCTTCTAGATCTGATTGATGAAGAATAGAGCGAACATTTGATTCAGTCATCATATAATTATGTAGTTCTTTATTCTAGCTATTTACCGTATAGTTGTACAAAAAAATCATTGTAAAACTGGTAAACTCATTAAAAGTTTAATAGATCTATTTGCAATTTTTAAAAAATATTTCCGAAGTAAATATTATACATGAAAGAAATGACATACTAATGACCATTGGGTTATTATCAAGACTCTAGAGAGAGTTCAATTGCTCAAATAGAAAAATGATGTAATATAATAATATTATATGAGAAAAAAAAAAAATTTTCTTTTCCAATACTTCATAACTCATCAAGAATATTTTTAAGTTGTGAACGATTACTTTATGGCAAGTTATGTGTTACACAAGTCATATATCTATATTCTTTTTTTTTTCTTTGATGGATATATATGTCAGACAGCAATGCTATTAATTTGACAATGATACATTTGGACATATTGATGATGGTCGTTATTACAAATGTCATTAATTTCTAGGACGAATATATCTTTTTCTAAACGTAGACAGCTGAATTTTTATGTTCTATACATATTGAGAATCAGTCGAATAGATTTTACCAGTGACATATTGTCATAGAGCATTGCTGAACACATAAAACAAAAAAAAAAAAGGATACCTATAAAATTTTTCATTGTATTTTATTAAACATCAATACTTTAGTATGAAAAGGAAACCTAACATATGATAAAATGCATAAATTCATTTACTTCAGAATTGAACTTCATGAAGCCTTGATAATAACCTTAGATGAATCTATTAAACTTTCATTGAGTCATGAATTAGAATTTTTTAACGACTCAATCAACTTCAATGCAATTTATACTGTAGACAAGAATGTTCCAAGAGAGCCACTCCTGACTGTAGATAGCTGAAATAAAATATTACACAATGACATGTTGGTTGAGACTCATAATCTTTCCTTTCTCGAATTATATAAGTTTCATAAAATTTTAATACGAGTGACACCAGTGATCAGTACTTATTGTAGAGCATATTTACATAAAATTTCAATTGTCTAACTGTAGTTCAAGGTGAAAGACCCGGATGCGCGGATTCGATAGACTCTAATCATCGAATATAAAAAAAGTTGAAAAAGTATTTCGTATCTTCAGAGCAGCTTTTCGATTAGAAAATTTCACTGAGAGTATCAATGTATAGTCCGAAAAGGTCTAGTCAACCGAGTCCGGGTACGAAAATTTTGCACCCGATGGGCTCTAGTAGACACTGTTGATTAGCACTGCATATAGGCTATTGGGTTTCAAATAAGCAAAGTTGTTTTTTTGTATACATCAGCTATTAACTCTATTATCTTGTCATCGTTGATAGATAGTTAGTTGTTATCTATTTTTCATAGAAAATGATATCGAACGTTTGAAACGACGTATTGAAACTCTTGTGAAATCAAATGATGAAAAAGTATTTATTATTAATTATTGTAATTATAGATAGAATGACATATATTCTTACTAATCTAGGAAAGAAAAATAGACGATTTGCAAACTCAATTAACTAAATATCATACGGTTACAATAACACAGATACCATCAATTAACACAAACAAAGTTGATAATTCTAGTATTATATTCAATTTCTTGATTATTCAAAAAATTATTTTTCATATGTTTAGTAAATAATTCTAATATTCATAAATGTTCGTACGAAGCAGACGGTGAGATATCAGATTCAAATTCATTACCATCTCTTAATAGTGATAAGGATTCCAAAGTAAATATTAATAAAAAAAACGAAGAAATCTTCTTCAATTTTTTTTATTCAATTAGTTATCTCAGAAACCTTTATTATCAACATATAATGATCATGATTCATTTACAAATTCATATCAAAATCCATTAAGTAAATTAAAACTTGACGTATTATATCGTGTAAGTAGATGAAAAAGATTTTAGTTCAATATGAAAAATTTATCTATTTATCAGGCTGCAAGTGCTGAACCAATGTTGATTCGAGAATTTACAAATGTATGTTGATAAATTTTCATAATATATTTTTTGTTTTTTTTTTCTCTTCTATTTAGACTCCTATTCATGATACATCAAATAAAAAACGAACGCGTCCATCAAATGATCGAATGAATTATAAATGTAAAAAATAAAAAAAAAAAAGACATGAAACAAAATATTTTATTTGTTAATTTTTAGATGATCGAAGTGGTTATGTATCCGATGGACCAAGTCGAAAATATTCTGCATATAAAAGATCTTCATCAACTAATTTAGATAAAAATAAATCATCAAGTATTAAAGGTTTAAAAAATATATTTGGAAGAATTATTCGAACAAATTCAGGACATTTTAAAGAAGATGATGAACAAAAATCACAATGTTCATTTCAACGTCAAGATTTAAGAACTACAATTAATTATGAACAAAATTCATCAAAATCACTTAGGTAAAAGAAAAACACATAATAGCTTTCGAAACAACAGCCAGAACTTATTGTCAACTTGCAAGATTGTTCCTTAGAACTGTCGATTTTACTATAAGGAGGTGTGGGTATATTGATGATATTTCAATAATACTTAATGATCCTTTAAAAATTTTTATATACGAATAATTAGTACCGCATTCCTGATGAATTGATATGAATAACTCCTTTATAAATGGAAGAAAATTGTTTGGCCTTCAGATACTTAGAGAGGATAGGATTGTTGGAAGAGATCTGGTTTATACATGAAACTCTATAAGTATCTTATATTCATCTCAAAAATAATTTTTTCTATATGTTTCTACTCTTCTTCACTGATTCGGAGACCAAAAAACTAATGTTTTCCATTTGTAAAGAAATTACTTATATCCGTTCATCAGGAATGTTGTAATGATTATTGTTAAAATATCATCAATAAATATCATATAGTCAAGAAATAACCTACACACTGACAACAGGGGACCCTTTTTAAAGCAATCATAAAAACTATTGATTAGCGAAAAATTGAAGAGTACCTATAACTATATCCAATTAAATTTGCATGAGTTTATCTTTGAGAGCATAGCATTTATGAATACCATATATTATATTTCTCAAGGATTATAACCAGTATATGGACCTTCAAGACATCAAAAACTTGATTTCTTATATACCATCCAATGAGCTACATGTCGCTTTACAAAAGTACACAGATGATATCCTAGTTTAAGATAGGCTGCTAAATCTAGCAAAATCTTTTCAAGATTTTTGAATAGTTTATTTATATATTGACTAACAAAAAAAACTCTAGTTTTTATCATATATAAAGAGATAAAAGCTACTGAAGGATCTCCATTTTTTTGGCATTAAATCTTATGAAGAGATGAATATGTCAAGGAGAATGTTTATGTAAACAATGTATGATTTAGATTATCACAATATATACAAATGTGAACAATTAATAGTTAACGCTAGAAGCATCAAAGAACTCTAACAAAAGAAAATAGAAACATATACTACATTATAAAGATTAAATACAAATTTTTCTCAAAAGTGATTTCTCATTCGTTATGATAATCACTTTCTATTACTCATAGGTTTTTCTTGTTTCGAATTCAGTTCATAAAACTTAATTGTTGTTAGATCTGAATGAAATCTTTGATTTTCTATTCGAATTATATCATCACTCGACTGCAAACAGACGAGATTTACAGACAACAAAATTGTATTCGAGTCGCCAATGCATCGTCACGGACAGGTGACTGTCCTATCATAAGCTTGAATTTGCTTGACATTCTTGCATGCAAACAACGAACCGAAATGCTGTTGTCTGAAACGAATTCTTCAATTGTTGTTTTCGAAGTCATTGTGAAACACGTTTCCAGTGATTAGTCCTGAAATGCTTTATCAAAGCCCATCGGACACTAAGCGGAAGTAAAAGATTGGATTTTGTCGGACATTTTTAATGTCGAGATTTGAATTTACTAAGATATTTTCTTACTCAATAGAGATGTGCAGTGTTGGTGGCAATACTAGAGCCCATCAGGTCTAAGAATTTTTGAATCCAGACTCGATGGGCTCTAGTTCCAATGCTTCAGTGAATACCGATACCAGTTTGTTAGTGTGCACTGATTACACTGACAAGGGAATCTCTCCGGATGCTAAAATTCTTTTGAGCTCAAATTTTGTCCATAAGTAGAGGATGTATAGACTAGAAAATTCCTAAGAGGATATTGGTTCAAGTTGCGATTTTGGCTGAGATATCGATGTTTTACTACAATATTTCTATAGGACTCAACTTATCCGGTAAAATCAAAGTTTCGAGTTTTGATCTAAAACTTTACATACATTGAAGTCTCAATTAGACTAACTTGCCTACAAATTTTCAGAATTTCTGGATAAATTATCTCTGAGATGCCCCGGCTAGTCTGATTGAGAACTCGATGCGTATAAAGTTTTAGACTAAAACTTGAAACTATGATTTTACTGGATAAGTCGAGTCATATAGGAAGATTGCAGTAAAAAGTTTATATCTCAGGCAAAATCACAACTTGAACCCATATTTTCTTAGGGTTTTTCTATTCTATACATCCTCTATCTATGGGCAAAATTTGAGCTCAAACGAATTTTAGCATCTGGAGCGGTTTCCTTGTGAGTCAGTAAAATGAAACTGTACATCCCAACTAATCACTGGTACAAATATCTAAATCCTAATGTCCGTTTCAAAAGAGAAGACAGGTTGCTATTTTCTAAAAAACTTTTGTTGAGTACAAGATATAGACCTGCGATTTTCATTGTTCGAAAGAGCGATGTCCGGGGCCATTGATCTATATAAAATTCATTAGGGCGAAAGGTGCTTTTGGATCAACACTTTTTTCTTTACATATTTTCATCGATTATTTCCACAATCTCTATAAAATTATCACATTTTTTTTTGTAAATTCGCTTGGAATAAGAGATTGAGAGATAATGAAATATGTGATAATTTTATACAGATCGATGGTCCGGACATCGCTCTTTCGAACGATGAAAACCGCAGGTCTATATCTTGTATTCAGCAAAAGTTTTTAAGAAAATAGCAACCTGCCTTCTCTTTTAAAATGGATATTAGTAAATCCTATGTCGAATTGCCATTCATATAAAATATACACTGTGGACGAGCAGAATTATTTTTTTTTCTTAAAGTTTGAATTAATTCTACATTAATAAACGATATAATTTAGTCCAATAGAAGCAAAATTTGTCCGTTGGCAACCAGAACAAATTGTTAATTGGTTATATGGTATTGGTCTTGGTCAATATGCAAGTGAATGTCGAAAATATTTTAAAAATGGTTTACAATTATTACATACAACACCACAAGAATTAGAAAAAGTATTTCAAAACAAAAAATTTCATTTTTATTAAAATATTTTTTTTGTTTTATTTAATTATAGAAAATGGGTATGCGTAATCCATTACATCGAAAAAAACTTCAATTATATTTAAATGGTCTATGTACAGGACAAACAGAAATTAATTATCTTGATACACATTGGGTTCTAAGTATATTAATAGAATTGAAAACAAAAGAAAAAAAATTTTTTTTTTATTAAGAATGGCTTGATGATATTGGTTTACCACAATATAAAGAATATTTTGCTGAATCAAAAGTTGATGGTCAAGTACTTAACAATTTAACTCTTGTGAGACAAAAATGAATTAATAATAAATTATTTTTGTTTTTGTTTATCTTTGAAAGGAAGATCTTATTAATTTAAATATAACAAATGAACTTCATCATTTAAGTATAAAACGTTCAATACAAATATTACGTTATAATAATTTTAATCCAATCTATATAAGACGACGTCCAACTTCCGATGATAAAAATGATATAGATGAAATAATGTATTGGTCTAATCATCGTATTATGGAATGGTTAAGATCAATTGATCTATCGGAATATGCACCAAATTTACGTGGATCTGGTGTTTGTGGTGCTCTCATTGTAAGAATACTTATTAAATTTTCTTTTCAATTAAGTTTATCCACATGATTATTTTATTCTCGTACTGAATTTTATCATGTAGTTATTTTTAAATCAAACGATAATTGCAAAGTGGAAATAATTCCATTGTGTTTGTGAATTGAAGAGAAAAAGCTGACATGAAGTGCTACTATCGTTTCCTTACTTTTGAATACAATTCAGATTTTACAAAAAAAAAAAAGAAAAATTAATTATGATTTCAGAATCGAAATTAAAAGAACATTGATCGTGTTTCTATCTAATTGAATATGGAACAAGGTAAATATTATCAATTAAACGAATCAAATCTATATACAAACAATTTACCGCATACGAGATTATATCTTGATCTTGACATTTTTGCAGAATACATATGATTATTCAAAAAGTCAGAAAATCCCCACTGCTGGTCACTTAAGACTATAAAATAATGGAAATCCAGTAATAGTCATGAACGAGATGGTTCAAAAGTAAAGGAACACTGAAAATTCTTCTTTGTACATGGTCAGTTAGGCTTCATATATAATAGGTGATATTAGTCAAGAATATAGCATATAATCAATATGAAATGTAATTAAATTGAATTGATTTCATAGATTGCACTGACGAGGGAACATTCTCAGATGTCCCGCTTCGATTTCATTTGTTTATATATCATTCGATAGAGAACTTGGAGTAGATAAAAAGCCTAAAAGGGTTCCGACCGACCTGCTTTTTTGTTTGGGAGTTACAACTAGTTTTCTGATTTTTCCAGTGAAAACTAGCACAAAAAGAAAAATCCATAACTTCATCAAGGAAATTCATAGAGAACCAAAATTTGTTTTGATTGTAGTCTTAAGGATCCTCTATATACTCTAGAAGTTTAACAATTCTATCACTCTCTTTTCTCGAGTTATAGGATATTTCTATAAATAAGGATGTGAGTGTAGGCGTCAGTGCTCCCTGTACCCACACCCACAAATTACTGCATCCAAAGACTTAGTATATATTATATCTTTTACTAGTATCATCTAGTAAATATGAGGCTTAATTGATCATATACAAAGAAGAAATTCCAGTATTCACCTACTTTTGCGTCATCCTGTATATGATTTATAAGAATAGTAGCGTAACTAGAAAAAAATTGTACCGGGAGGCTTAGTTCCCTGAGTATATTTGTAAAGGGCGCGAAGACCCTCTGATAACGCTTCTAAAAGAAACTCAAGTTCCTTTTTAAGCGAAACCAGACTGTTTCTAGGGAAGAGAGGGTTGAGCTCTAAAGTTTGGCGGGCTGATCCCGGATCCAAACACGGTCGATTCTAAATCGTGAATCCAACGGGCTCTATTGATCCCTCTCTGGCTCTCGACTAATTACACCACTATATAAGTAATCAACACATCTCAGATTTATGGATTTTCGTAGCGAAAGTAGTTAGCTAACTATTTTTTTCGATGATCATGAACAGTGATGGCTGCTCGCGTGGGCATTGGTTATGCTTTTGATTGGTCCTGAATGATTGCATATTCGACAAAATGTCAAGATAAGCATTTGATCCCATATGAAGTAACTATTTGGATACAAATTTGATTCTTTTTTTGGGTGATTGTTAATAGTACGAAGCCAGTATTTCAGCTCAGAGAAGGTTACTTTAACATAATTTTCAAAATTTCTTGTAGTGAACCGATTTCGTGACTTATGATCGTTTACATTAAAAGTGTAGATAGTGAAAATAAAATGCTGATTGTTTTTAAGTCTTGAATGAAATTTTTAATATTTTTATGATGTAAAAAAAAAAACAAAAACATTATTGAATTTTAGGTTCTTGAAATACGTTTTAATGTTTCAACTCTAGCAGAAATTTTATCAATTCCAACATCAAGAACTTTATTAAGACGACATTTATCAATGCGTTTTCAAGAATTAATTGGTAATGATTTACAAAATCGTAAAAATCAATATGAAAAATCTCCTAATTGTCAACCATTAACATTACATACAAAAATAAAAGTAAAAAATAAAAACTAAAATAATTTATTCAATAATCAATATATAATTCTTATTAATAATTTAATATTCAGTTTTCACGTGGATTATTTTCTCATCGACGAACACGTTCAATTGATGTTGATGATCTTGTTTGTCCAATGAATGACAATACTATAATTAATGGAATATCACCGTGTCTTAAAGTATATCGAATAGAATTTATTAGTTTTTGTTTTTTTGTGTATTAATCGATTTATTTAAATTATAAATTTAGCGATATCAACGAAAAGAATCATCAATGGTTGATGATTTCGAAGATGAAGTGGGTCTTCATTTTTTGTTCATTTTTTTTTTTTGTCATGTTGCTCGTTTAAAAGAATATGAAAAATTATTTGCATGAGAATAACTAATTTTAAATATTTATCTATTTAAAAAACAAAATATTTATCATATGTTTTTTTTTTCTATTTTTTAGCTTGTCCTTACACATGATAGTCCAACAACAGTTGTTTAAATAATATTAAAACAATAAGAATTATTAAATGTGACTTGTGTAAAGTCATTCATGTTTTATATGCAACCATTGACGATTGAACGTTTAGTTTTTTTTTTTAAATTCTTTATTTGACTCTATTTACATTAAAGAATGTTCTTTGTAAAATAATTAATATTAAAGAAAGTATCTGTTTTTTGTATTTCCTTCGACATATATGTTTTAAATAGCTTTCTAAAAAATAGGAAAGATAATACAACATCAGTATACTTTAAAGATGGAACCGATACCAGGTAACTCGAGTCATTGATGGTTTTCTTCAGAAAGAAAATACTTAGGGCATACCAAAAGTTCTGGCCACGGCATTTAAAGGATCTTTTTGGATAATGGGATCTATTGAGAAATGAAAAAGCAAATATACAGTGTTGTAGAACTTTTTAGGAAGTGTCGAATAGTATATGGAAAATTTTGTTTTCATAGGACTTTAAAGGAACTAAAGTCAATTTACTGATAGATGACTACACACCTACACTGACAAGATGATCAGATATGCTAAATATAAGACGCTGCAGTCCGTCGAAAACTTTGCAAAATCGTAGATGAGAAAAAATATTTTACAAATACTTTCGATTAATACCAAGGACCACAATATTAAGAAATTTATCATGCTTGGATGTGGATGTGTAGTCGTCTATTAGTTAAATTGACTCTACTTCCTCTAAAGTCTTATGAAAACAGGATTTACTATATATCATTTGACATGCCTCAAAAAGTTCTACAACGTTGGATATTTGTTTTTTCATTTCTCAATATATTCCCTTATCCAGAAAGATTCTTTAAACACCGTGGCTAGAACTTCTGGTATGCCCTAAATATAATTAGTCATCTTATTTTCCAAAAACGAAATTCATAGAAAAATTATGCATAGAGATGGACAGCTCCGACGCCGAAGCGGCCACTCCACAGAACTAGCTCCGCTTCCGGAGTAGAGTTAGAGCGGAGCAGCTAAAGGCCGAAGTTGCTCATCTCTGATCATGTGTGTTCTTGTTACATCTGCATCTGTTGAATGTGCGTTTTCTCAATATGATCTTTGAATGAGATGGTATCGTTTAAAATTTTCATAAGCTTATATTTGCATTTTAACATTTTTAAAGTGTAATAAGATATGCAAATAAATAATTTTTACTTGTAAACAACTTTAAATTTAAGTTTTTTGTTTATTAAAAAATAATGTTTTGTTTTTGTGCATAGATAATAGATATCGTGTTATGAAAAAATTATTGTTAACATTCTTTGAAATTGGCAAAAATAATTTGACTTACCTAATCGTGCAGCAAACGACCGATCTCGTCTGGTACAATTAAATCATTTTTATCAATAATGAAATCATATGGCTTTTCTTTAGATTAAAATATGAAAAGATATAATGTACTAAGTAGTAAAATCTAATTCAATATATTGGTATTCAATTATATTGTTGTTTTTTAATGCAAAGCCATATATTGAACATTTTCCACGAATCGCTCAGATATCTCTGATTTATGATATAAGTTAGTCATTTGTGTGAGTTCAGTATAAAATCCGTTCATTTGCCAGTAGGTCAGCATTTACCGGTTCTATCTTTGACGCATTTCTTTACTTACACTATGAAGAAGTATACATTAGCTTTAATGTAGAAATTTTTGCATTGACCAAATCTATCGATAGTATTAACCTTGTAGTCATCGCTGATCAAGAACTTGTTGACAAGAAAACAGTTTGTTTTATGATTGGAACATTTCATGATGGTGTAATATTGCTGACACTTTCGAGACTGTAAGTGTTGTCTATCATATTCTTACTTCCATTAACTTGTGTCGTATTAGAATAGATAAATACATTTAATATGTGTTGAAGGATAAACAATAGACTTCAACACATATTAAAAGCTGTTAGCACAATCTCTACAGGATTGAAATATGAAACAAAATGTAGCTAATCATCGGAATATTGTTTTATTCTATCTAATACAATATCGAATTTGTTCATTTATTATAACGAAACGTTATTTATATACGATCAGTGATTGTATATTAACAACATCTGTCACAGTCTGTAATGGAGAAGAGACGTTGCTAAGGATGTCTATGGAGGATTCCAATTTCTATCCTTTACTTCAACACTTCTTTTAGATCGTATTTCACAGAAACTATAACTTAAAGACTTCAAGACTGAAGTTCCTGGTGTTTTCCTCATGATATATGTTGAAGTGTGCTATTTTTCTTTCAGCTATTTCTTCTATGCAAAGACCTCCTAGATTGATTAAACGAATGAAATAGTCAATAGAGTTCAATGAAATTATTTTACACAGCCAAAAGTGTTAACTCATGTAATCCAAACCAGATCAATCGATATAATGTGCGCTATACTGACAATTTTCTTGAAACTATTGTATGATGATGCAGTGTGTCAAAACTGATGAATATTTTGTAAGTCAATAAAACTTGACAGACTTGAGTCGATTTTGATGCTCTCACACAATGTCGATGCATCTGAACTACAGAGCCCAAATCAGTGCCAGTTCTAAGATAAATTTTTTATTATAGATGCAATGCTGCAAAACTTTTCATTAGTAAAATACAAGTAACGCTCGTCAGTGTGACTCGCTTGATCCTCAACTGAATATTCAGTTCCTTTAGTGTTATGGATGATAGAACGACATTACCTTTTGTATGTACGCTCCACGTCTTCACATAAACAAAATAATGAGATGAAAATCACCAAAATATCATAATCTTTTTATTCCTTATCAATTGTAGAGTTCTTAACATAGATCTTCTTCGACCACTGTGTTTCATATGTTTAAATGTATCTTACATAATATTCTATATTTCTACCTTTCTTTGTTTGCTACTGTCAAGTCCTATTCAATAAACTAGAAAGTGAAGAATACAGTATTTGCCTACTATTTCTGACAACAGGTAGAAGTAGAAGTTGTAATTTCTCAAAAGAGATACTTTTTAAATAAACCTTCACAGCTATTTAAAGATGCATACACATTTAAAATATGACACTTTTACAGCATTATCATAGCTATTTTATCTAGTTAGCTAATTAAAATTTGATATTTTTAAAACAAAATCGTTGCAATTCAAAGGTCATTAATCGCTTTTTAAATAACATGCATAGCTGCTAAATGACGATTTAAGAGATGTTTCGTGAGGGGATCGAGAAACCAAGGCACTGGGTAAAAAATTTTTTTTTTGGTTTTGTTTTTACTTATTCAATATATTAATGTCTAAGACCGCCAACCCCAGAAAGTTAGCCAATACAGACTTTTAGCATTATCATACTTTTTTTGGATAAAACAAGAAAATATACTCCATCAGAGATGTGCTAGGTTGTAGTTCAATAGATTATTAGAATTTTTCATAGTATATACCAGAAGATAGAAGATTAAAAACTGAATAAAATGAGATGATGTAAGCCATTTTTTGACTAAAGGGTAAACTTTTTTTTCATTTTATAGAGAAAGAAAAACTACACAATATGTATAAAATTCACAGCTTGGTCTCCTGTCTCTCTGAGATATAGCACGAGATATATTGTTTTATTTGGATTGATCAAAATGGCCCCCTTGACTCATGTTGGCTTTAGAAAACTTGAATGGCTAGATATTAAATTATATCAATATAACTTATTTTATTCAGTTTTTAATCTTCTATCTTCTGATATATACCATGAAAAATTCTAATAATCTGTTGAAATATAACCTCGTACATCTCTGATAGGGTATATTTTCTTGTTTTTTCAAAAAAATGTATGATAATGCTAAAAGTCAGTATTGGCTAACTTTCTGATGGAAGGATATTAGAACCTAAAATCTTGGGGTTGGCGGTCTTAGACATTGATGTATTGAATGAGCAAAAACAAAGGATTTTTATTCAGTGCCTTTGTTCCTCGATCTCTTCACGAAACATCTCTTAAAAGAGGTAACGAGCTGTGACAATAGTCTGTTAAATATTCGTTTTTATAATAGTCGAACGTTTATTTCAACTCACCTGTACAGGTATGTAGAAAGACGAAGGTGGACTGATTGATGGACAGAACAATATCTTTTGTTTTTAATAAGTTGACGAGCAGTGATGATATGCTTTTCGATATTCGTTTTCATAAGGAAGAAACATAGTTTTTAATTCACATGTGCAGCTACGTATGTAGATTCACCTGAATGGTTGTTTTGTGAATTTATAGAACAAGGACTATCACTCGCTGATTTATGCAATCAGGCGTAACGCATGCTTCTCATGTATTCTCTTTCGTAATCGTCTTTTGTATCCTTCAAATCGACTTAATAAACATATAATTGTATTTTTACAGTTTCTTGAATATGAATCTAGCGGTGAGTGTAGTATTTTTTCTATAATCGTTTGTAGAATCGCCGATTATATATTCGTGATATCTTTTCTACACATATTTAAGCAGAAAATCACCATGACTTTTTTGCATATCAATACAAATATCCTATAATACTGTAAACTAAATATCAACGCATTACAGCTGTCGCTTCATGCCTGAGAAGATATTCCCCGTTTCTACTCATTTAAAAAAAAACTGATACAAAAAATCGATTCTAATTCGATTATATTCAAAAATATCGAAACTTCATCACCTATTCTGTTTTTTTTTT